CTCGACTGTACAGAGAGAAAGAGAGAAAGAGCGACAGGCTGAGAGAAAGAGAGCGAACAAGTTGGAAGAATGAGTGCAATGAACGAAATGTAAAGCGTGTCTGAGAATGTCGGATCGAAAGGATAGAATGTAAAAGAGAGAATGGATGAATGAACAAAATAAGAAAGAAAAAAACTGGTGAATCACAAAACAGTACGAGTGAACGGTTCGAATGAACGAGAGTGAACAGAGAGCACGTAAAAGAAGAAGAAAAATAAAAGGGTTAATGAAACTAACGCAACTACAACTTCCGCTCAGCGCCTCGAACGCAAAACATTTTACATTGTAATCGTAAAACTTCTTTTGTCGCCATGTATTTTGCCAACGAACGATGATTTATTAATTATTACACTCTTTTTCTTTTTGTCTCCATTTTATATTAATATTATTTAGAGAGCAATAATTATTAACGATGATACGCTACGATGATAACGTAACACTTTCTAGATAATTTGTTTTTGCTTTTATCTCTTTTATTCTTCTTGCGACGACGACAAATTCGTATTGCATGTAGGACACACCTACGACCACATGTATACATACATACACACGTACACATACGAAAGAGAAAGGTATATTATATATACATATATATACATATATATATATATATATATATATAAAGACACGTGAAAGAAAAAACATACACAGCACCACGGAAACGCAATCGAATCCAAGCGTAGCGGTTCGCCCAATCAATCCGAACAATCGGTCGCAAGAACGAACGTCGCAACACGTGATCGGGGCTGCTATTTACGCGACCCACACGGCAAAAAAAGATAGGCGTGAGAAAGAAAAGAACATATACAGCGACGCATCGCCGTTTTCTGTTTTTCTTTTCATTGGCTTTGTTGTATCGCGCGAGAGATAAAAGTCGCTTGCTTGTGAAAATTCTTTTTGTGGAACGATCGGTCGGTCCATCTCAGGCGCGCAGCATCGGCTTCCCGTCATTTCGTTGCGGCTCGTTACACGACAGAGAGACGCACGCCCTTACGAATGTGTTTTTTTTTTTTTTTTTTCGTGAAACATACCACGTGAAATCTCGACGGAAAGCTTTTGGTCGTGTCCCTTGTCGACGGGCCGGTCGTTCGCCCCCTCTATTTTCTACCACTGTGCTTCCTTTTCATTTTTCTTTGTACACACGTATCGTTTCGACTTTTCGAACATTCCAAAATGCTTGTTTCCCTCCTTTTTTTTTTGTCAATTTGTAGAGAGCCTTGTATTCGATTTAGAGCAAAATAAAGTCTAGAAAGGCAAGTACGCCGCGTTTGGTTGATCCTATTGACCCGGACGTATCACTCCTGTTCTCTCGTGGATTTTCAGGATGCGAGAAATACGCGTAGGAGGAAAAATAAGAAGACGATGACGCACGTGGAAGAAGATTCGTTTGGTATGAAAGGGTTACGTTTCCGTATACTGACTAGACTCGTTTTTCGCAGGTGGTTCCGGTCAGTCGACAGAGAAGATCGTCAAGGGGAAGACGAAACACCACGAAGAAGTTTTTCATCGGTGAAGATTATCGTTTAACCTCGCGACGAAGATGTATCATGGGGTATTAACTAGATTCACAATGGAAATCAAGTATTCCAGCGTCAGGGGGTTAACCGTGACCAGCGAAATCTCCACAGAAGATCAATCCTCCCCCAATTTTACTAACGCAAATATATCTTGAGTTCCAGGTCACCAGCATCTCCAAAAGCGACCATCAACCATCCACCAGAGGACCCCAAGGAACAGGCCAGGTACAGGAAAACGAAACTCCACCAATCAGTCCATCCGTGTCTTACAAGATCGCGTCATTAACGATCATCCCCGCAATCTCTCGATCCCGGGGATCCCCTCCGCCGCAAGGCAGCCATCGAGGAGATCCCCCCCAGCAATTAGAATCACCGACTAACCTCTCCACCCCCATTTGTTCAGAACGTAATCGTCTCCCCCAAAGTCGATCCTCATCATCCCCTCTTTTTGACATGCTCGATGTTGCTAAGCTTGAGAACTTGAATGTTTTTTCTTTTTTATCGCATGGCCCGCGCCGTTGTAAAGAGCAGTACCGTGTAAACTGAACAAAAAAAAACGAACGAACGAACCGTGTGTAGAGAAAGGCGGCAAGTGCCATAGCCACTAATCGATCCGTCGAAACCTCTGCTTCGATTGTTCCCAGGTTTCTTCGCGAGCCTAGGCTGGAATTCTGACGGGACCAGGCGGGTGTCACGCTCGTCAGCCAACGATGTCCCAGCGCCATTGACCCCCCAACGACGCGCCAGACTTCATTGCCCATCCAGACACACTGGTCGTAACGCTGGCAGCAATAACAACAACCGACCGATCGGAAGTATCTCCGGTTCGGGGCTGGATCGTCGTCACAATTGCTCCCGATGCGGTAAAAGCTACAAGAACGCGTACATACTGAAGCGACATTTGCTCTACGAGTGCGGCAAAGCGCCGTCGTTCAGCTGTCCCCATTGCGCGTTCAGCTCGAAGTACGAGAGGAACCTGAAGGCGCACATCAACCATCGCCACGTGGTCGCTCAGCCGCCTCAGTCGAACACAACCGTGAACCAGAGGGCCTGAAGGACGATGAACATCCCTACTGGCTCTGGGCAGAGGGGCAAACGAACGAGGCTCCGGGCGAGCAGGGAATCGGGGAAACGTTAGATCGCGGGTTTTTTTTTTGCTTTTCGGATTATTCGACCCTCGGCTGGTGTGGTCGTCACCGTTTGGTGTGTTTTATGTGCAGGTGGACTTTATATTTGAATTTGTTGGACGATTACTGGGGTGTTTTTCAGTGATTGTGGTTTCGGTTATGATTTTACCGTGCATGAATATTATTTGAGTACTTTTTCAGATTATTACGGTATGGAAATATGGTTGGATTGTAATTATATCTATGCAAAGATTAGAATAGAACGAGAGTACTTTGGATCGTATAGGTTAACACTTTGGGTATAGATTTATTTAAAAGAAATTTTGCATGTGGAACAGGTTTAATTATTTTTTTACAACTGATACAAAGGTGTTTTTCAGTGATTGTGGTTTCGGTTATGATTTTACCGTGCATGAATATTATTTGAGTACTTTTTCAGATTATTACGGTATGGAAATATGGTTGGATTGTAATTATATCTATGCAAAGATTAGAATAGAACGAGAGTACTTTGGATCGTATAGGTTAACACTTTGGGTACAGATTTATTTAAAAGAAATTTTGCATGTGGAACAGGTTTAATTATTTTTTTACAACTGATACAAGCTAATACAAGTAGTAGAGTTAGACTCGTTATCATGATTAGTCTGAATCGTCAAATGTACCCAAGGGGTTAATATTGTAAGGGAGTACGATTGTTGGTGTCGGAAAAGATGATTCTACGTATCGAAATACAACGAGAATCAAAAATGACGAAATTGTGTCCGAGGCTACGTTATCGAGCTAATGAGAATGAAAAATTAAGGTAAAAAACGCCTGGGACCAGGCAATCTGCGCACAAGCGGTAAACGCAGGGCACGATAGTGCAGACAAAAAGTCTTTCCCAGAAAAAAATTAATCTTTAACTTACGTGTTATACTTGCACTCCAGCTTGGACTATCTTCTTGTGATATTTCGTAAAAAAACACGCACGAAATGTTCCATGATATTAAACCCCGTCACTCGTTCAAATCCACATGAAAGACCGCAGTACACACACGGAATAAATACTAAATAAATTAATTTAAAACGATTTACAATTCACTACAATACATTAAATCGATACTATAAAGGAACACAGATGTTCGAGGAGTACTTCGCGACGACTAGATGTTTTCGTATAGACGAACGCTGTCGAACTAAGGAAACATTAACTCGAATCCTATGAAAAGGGCAGACAGGTAATAAAAATTTGTAAACAGCATCGCTTGTACGTAGGTTACCGATGTTTTTGACCTCGAATTTCGAAACAAATCCAACACAATGTCGTCATTCTTGATTTTCCTTTTGTTTTGATGTGAAGAAATATACCTTAAAGTTTCTGACTTCAATTGCCGAACACCCTGTAAATAGCATAGTAATGTTACTGTAGATTTACAAGAAACAATTTCTTAAATAGTTCGTCAGTTTCAGTAGAGTATGCATATGGATATGTTTTATATCCAACAGAAAACTTCGATAGAAAGATTTTAAATCTCGAAGAACAATGTAAATATCTTCTTGGGAAATTCCATAGCAGTCCATGCCAGCTGAGGGTTAAAAATAGGTAATTGGGTGAAATAACCCAGAAAGAAGTGGTTATGTGATTAATAGAATCCTCCATGGATTAATGCATAGACTTAAATATAATCGATTTATGATTAATAATCGAAAAAAACGTATATATTCGTTTATTTACATAAATTGAGCTGTAATATACATTTAGAAATATACAGAAATATTACTCGACACAATCATCCGTGGACAGAGCGTGCACTAATCCGTGGAGGACGATCTATTGTCATTTTCAGTGAGAAAACGACAGTTTCCGAGATACTTTGAATCGATACGCGGTGCGTACGATTGAACTTTCACAGAAGGTGAATTGTTACAAAATTCTGTTGACAATGTCTCTATCGTTAATTTTATTTTCATTTTTATTTTTTGTCCCCGTTTAAACTTGAGATTTCAATTAATTATCTAAAAAAGAACCGAAGAAAAAACGGTAAGAACCGTGTGTTCCTCGTTCACACGATACAAGACAGCCGCATTACATGTGACAATACATTTCCGTCATGCAGACACCCAGGTGTGAATCCACATTGCTTCTAGCTAAGCGTTGACAAACGCAGCAACGAGGATTAGAGAGTACTGAAAAAATACAAAAAAAAAAAACGTATACAATGTTCGAACAGTTGCGTCGTCGAGGCGCGAACCCGTTGTTGGATCCCGTTTAACCGTGTATAAAGGGGGAATGATATAAGACGTATTGTTGAATACTTTTGAAGGCTCGGGAAGAATGCCGGAAAAGCAAGGAACCGAGAAGATTAATTGTCGAGGTAGACGTCTTTAATATGCCAATTCTAATCGCCATAATATTTTTGTAATTGTTGATTATATTTAAAGAATACCTAAATCCAGAAACCATCTTGAACTAGTCGGGTTCTAAAGCTGTGACTTCATAAATGTGAGGTACAGGATATTGTCTAAATCCAATTTCAGACCTGAAGTTTTTAAAATTCTTTTAAAAGTACAAACATATTTGATTACAATTTTGTTTTTTTTATTATAACTCAAGTCGTACTTTGGTGAAGTGAGGTCGGAACTGACGGGTGAAAAGAAATGATTATCTTGAACTTGTATTTTTGTTTATTTCTATAATACGGAATAATAATTGCGTTATATAACACATAAGAATACAAGTATTAAACGTTTACTAAATAATAACAGAATATTTTGAAACGATAATCTAACAAAATAATAAAAAATAGAGTGGGATCAGGAAAAAGAACTACAACTTCGGTCAGATCCGACCCGGACCTTGCCGTTGAGGGTTAACAGTTACATTTTTTTTCGTGACTCCACTGGATAAATAACATTATCATCTGTAAAGATGTTTAATAAGGTGACGATGCTTTTCCGGATTTTTTTTCGAGTCCTCGGCCATATAACCAAATCGCCCAATTATTTTTGTACTAATTATAACCGGATGATGGACATTTCGCAAACAAAAACGCAGGAATTCCATCGCGGCGCCGTTGATCGAACCGATCGAGGACCAGACCGATGATCGTGGTCCAATGCAACGAAGATTGTTGAACGATTCGACGGACCACGGTGATCGGGCTGGATGGTTGCCAGGAATTGTCCTGGAACGATCTCGAGAAGGTGGAACGTCTCGATTCACACGGTGCGAGAGAAAAGGGTCGAAGTTCTCGGTGCAACGAAAAATCTCCGACAACCAGTAGCTATCCCGGTTCGAGCTCTCTAGTGTAGTAGATATTAAGTGACGTTCAGAGAATCTAGTCAGCCAAATGTCCCACGTTCCGTGACCGTATTTCTCCCGCGCGACGACTCGCGATAAACGAACAAACGATCGTTTGTGAACGATAACTTTCGAGTATCGTTGCCTTTTAAACTGTTTCGACGAGTGAAACAGGGCCGTTGGAGTTAGAAACGTTAGGATAACTTTATCTTAGTCAGGGGTAATTTTGTTCGAAAGTTGAAAAACGATCGTTTTCGATTTTGCAGCTCTGGAAATTGTGAAATTAACCCTTTGAACTCCACTGGCACCTCTGCGGCGCCATCACAGAATACAAGTAAGTTGTGTTTATTACAGTGCAGACTGAATACTGATGAATGTGATTGTGAAAATTGAAAATGATCATTTTCTGTTATTTTATGACAAAGTTACCTTTGTCTGAGACAAAGTTACCCCAACTTACGGTTCCCAGAAATGGTCGCCGATCGTTCCGCGCGGAAGCGGTAGTCACGGTTATTTTTGTCGGAGATTGTGCGTGTAGTGTTTGAGGATCGACGAAGTAGTCGAACGAATTCATGATTAGAGACAGCGATGTTAATTAACGCGACAACAAACGGAAGAATATCGACGATTGTTACGAAGAAAAGTGGTTCTCGTTGATTCGTTCGACAACTTCGATCTGGTTCCTTTCGTCTGAAGTAGAGTCGTCTAGTTTAGAGAAAGGCCTAAGTAGGCCGCTACCTAACATAGAATACCCAAGATAGAGAGTATATTTGAATAAAAAAAAAATATATATTATATATATATATAGATTATACATATACATAGACGTATACATATTGCATAGTAACTTTACAGTGATTGTAAATTGTAAATCGTATACAGCGCTGTTGAAACAGAAACATGTCTTTCCACGCGGCTTGGCCGGCCCAATGGATTCGTCTGGCTCGGATCTCTTGTCGCGCGTGGATCTTTGTGATAATGTTCGATCGTTCGTAACGGTGAAATGACGGTACTGTTGACGAGAACATTTTTTTTTTTTTTTAGTTAGTACAGAATAATAAGTATATAAGTCTGGTCGATGTAGAGGAGATATTATTAATATTAGATTCGTTGCACGTGAAATACGACTGATTGCACTTGAATGAAAATTATTAACAAATGTCACTTACTTGTGCGTTTAGAATGAATTCTTGGAATTCAGAAGTTCGTAAAATTTCGGAAGATTCTGGAAATTGTGTTAGAATAGTTTTAGAATCAGCGTTTGAGCTTATAATTTTAAATGAAATATAGAAGTACGTATATTAGAAATTTCATTTAAGATTCCGACGATGATTGTTGTTCAGCAAAGTGATAAGGTGTTTTCAATGAAGAATTGGAAATTCCAACGGTACATATGTGCAATAACCAGCATTTTCAGATGAAAAAACACCCATCGACCTCGCGATACTTCCTTTTACAGATCGAGGGGACAATACGAGTGACACATATTACGATCCTCGCGACAAATTTCTCTCTACCACGAGCTTCCTAACGAGACCCAACGAATTCGAGATGAACCTCGATTAAGGACCAAAGACTCGACGAAGAATCGCTCCGTAAAGGAATTCTAGTCGGAAACCCGAGCCTCGGCGACGATCCTTGCACCGGCCAAGCGCAAATCAAGCGAAGAAGCGTATCGATTGATTACCATAGAGGCGTTGAATCTCGTATTTATCCCCGTAGTAATTTAGGCGAATTTTACCAACAAAAACAGAAAAACGAACAAAAAAAAAAACACACTTTCCAGTTTCTCTATCTTCCACTCTTTTTCTCTGTCTCGCTCTGTCTCCCTCGGGGCGTTCCTCGTGTCCCACCTTTACCTTGAGGGTATTTTAAAACCCTTTTTACCCTTTAAGAGTTCTTCAATCTTTAATCTTGAGAGTTTGTTCGATCGAACCTTCATAAGCTAAATCTAGATGTTGCTACACACGACGATATCACCGCTTTTTCTTTCTTCGGTGATCGTCGGATAAATGGTTTATCTCTCTCTCTCTCTCTCTCTCTCTCTCTCTCTCTCTCTCTCTCTCTCTCACGGCTATTCTCTCACTCGAACTTATACACCTGTCTTTTTCGTGGTCAGAGATTACTCGATTGTCTTGACGATATGTTTCTCAGTGGACGATATCGATTGTACATTTGTCGATCACATTTTTCGGGGGATCGATAGACATGGAATCTGAACATTTTCGATATTTTCTTCGACAGGTCGATCATCGTTTCGTAGAAACAGGTCGATGTGATCTTCGTAACTAAACTGTGAACCTCTCAGCTTCTACGTGCTCGTCCTTGTTGATCTTGAATAATTTTAACACGTCGACAGCCATGTCTAACGAAAATTCTCAAACGGTAGAAACTTCTTCTTATAAAGAAGCAAACATCACCGTGGCGGTAGTTATTCCTTTAATTTAGTTAAGTTACATGAATCCTAGATAAACTTACGATACTCAATACTGTATACCCTATGAATTAATTTTAAGTTCTAGTCATCTCTGGTTATGGTAAAAGATCACATTTGTGTTTCTGTAAGTAAAGAATCAGAATTTATTAAGATAGACAGTTACCCTGTCGAAAAACATACAAGAAATCCTCGATGAGTGTTCGAACGCTCCTCGGCACTGAACATTAAATATTTCATAAACTAATGGCCATACGCGACTGAAACGAATATCATTGGCTTCAGAATTACAAGCTCTAACACTGTACTGAAGCTCATTAAAAAGTCAGCGTTACACCTAAAGGCCTCTTCTTGTAAGTCTCGAGGGGCCATCGAACACTCATCGAGGTTTTATTGTATCCTCCGTTCTGTCGCTTTCTCATCGCAGAAATGTGCACAGTGTGGGCGAAAAGTTCTGTCAGACAGACGATATACTATCGTTAACTTGCTCTCTATACATATAGACAATACGAGCGGTCGACGTGTTAAGAAACGAATCCCGTGATGAACATAGAACCGAATGGCGTATTCGGTGCCGAACGCCAGGCCTCTTCAGTTTCTTCGCGAGCTTCTTTGTGCCAAAGAATTCGATGCCATTTTTGTAAAGACGACTCCACCCCATCCCCCCTCCCCCAACGAGTCGACTCCATGTGCCTAAAATGTGATCCGAGTCGCTACTGTTATCAGTGTGAACTGAATGTTATTGTTATAATATCGATGTCGCGTTTTTCATATCCGTTTTTTCGACACGCAAAATTATTTTTAGAGCGCAAGAGACCTTTTAGCGTTGCCGAGCGACACGTACATACACACAGACACGCAGAATCGTTTGTCCGATCGGTCCCCGTGTGCTGGATCGCCCCGTTTTTAGGTCGATCCCCCTCCCACCCCTGCGAGAATCGCAAAAGGGGGGTAAGTTTGTCTTCCAACGAGGGAACTCGACGAACGATCGCGAATGAAAACATATGTAAACCGTATCTCGAGAGAGTGAGAGGGCTGCGTTCGCCCGGATCCAGTGGATCGATCGATCGATCTATCGTTTACGTTCACGGTCGAAGAAAGGTCACGATTTTAGCACGCGGATGATGAAGAATATACAGAAGCGCCAAAGACTGAACACAAACACTCGTACGAAGTGAGAGGTATACACTTATTTAATTAAAAAAAAAAAAAAAAAAAAAAGAAAAGTTAGTAGAGCGACCGGAAGTCGGTTTGTCTGTGACTTCCGTTCGCGACGTAGAATGTTACATTAAACTAAATTTGGGGTTTGAAGGAACATGTGGCGGTGCTGGAAAACGGTTTCGTTAGATTTATTCGGTGAAGTGATCGTAGATATTATACACTGCCTGGCATAACCAGAAAACTACCTTCAAATTTTTAATTCTTGTGTACTTGTGATTAAAATAAAAACGAAACATTTTTTTTTCTCTAGGGATTACAATCTATCCTTTTCTGGGGAAATATTATTTCTCAACGCGATTTCAGACATGTCATAGTATATATACAGGGCGTCCCGGAAAAATGAAACAATTCGCATCATGCATATCCCTCGTGCAAATAGAAATCGAAAAGTCATTTACCGTTTTGTAATCGGAAGCTCCGTTTCCGAGATATTAACAGTTAATCGAACTCCAATCAGCTGAATGGCCTGCGCTTACGGTAAGGACGTAAACGGTAAAAACGGTAAAGGACTTTTCGATTTGCATTTGCATGAGGACCATGCATGTTGTGGATTGTACCATTTTTCCGGGACACCGTGTATATATGATATACATAATTTGTTCGTATTTCTTTTATCCGCAATAAATAAGAATTGAACATTTTATGCTGGTTTTAAAGTTACGCCACGCGCTATAGATTCCTGTGTAATTGGAAATGGAGGTATTTTGTGTAAAAATTTCGGAGAACAGGAATTGTCTGTGGTAAATTCTTTCGCTTATGGGAATTTCAAGAATTAAAATGATCGTGGTTTAGATCGGAGATATTTTAAGGACTAAGAAAGTATTTCGGGAGTTGTTTTATTTAAAGGAGCATACATCGAATAGATCCAATTGAAATTTTTTTTTGGCGCGCTTCCGTTGTTTTTCGCAACCTTTGTGCCAATATAAGCGAGGCTGGCTAATGCAATACTCGAGTCGTCGTTCGCGACAGCGGATGGCTGCACACCAAATGCCTATAGAATTATTTTGAAGCCAATTTATACGTAAGACACACGCGTGTTCGTCTTGTACGCGTGTGTAGAGAATAATATACCGTGTGTACCCTCGTAACGATTCCATCAGAATCTTTTCAGCATCCCACAAATATTCCACTTTCGAGATATTCTCGAGGTTTCTTCCATCTGCAGAATGGAATATCGATATTCAATTTACGGATAAAAATCGAGACTTCCTTTCGGAGAAATTTTTTTTTTCTTTCATTAATTTCAAGATCTCAAGCAAGAAATGTATCTACGCACGCGTACACGCGAATACACAAGACGACACCCACGTAGAATCATGTATGTAAATAAAAATAACGGTTATATAGTTGCGTAACGTGACGTAGGAAAACCGACGATTCCTCGAATCGTTGCGAGAGAAATGGGAGACGAATGAAACCGAATGCTCGAACATCCAAGCCAAAAAGAAAGGAATACCTCTTGCTTTTAAGGAGATCGATGATAATAATTAGCACGTAAGCGTTTGTCACCTTTTCTTTTTGTCTCTCTCCTTTATAGAGATCCCCAGAGTGGTATACAGGTGACGATTGATAGTCCTGAGGATGGATCAATATCGTATTGGAGAGAGGCAGAGAGATAGAAGGGGGAAAAAATACTATAATTGCATAATATTTATTGTTCATCCAGGTAAACGCCGTGTGAGAAATGTACATTTAACAGGAAGGATCAGGGGGGCGATTTCAACGAGTTTCGCGTGTCCATTGCGACACGAGCGTTAATATAATATATTCTTTATGGGTTTATGATTTTTGTTTTTGCGAATTTCGAATTACGATTACCATTGTGAGTGTATCACTGATAACCATTGTGTTAGCGAGGATACTCGACGAATAATAAAGAATTGAATTTAATTATTCAGCAACGATCTGTTCACCTCGACCTTTGGTTTCTTTTTTTTTTCTTTTTCTTATCGTTTTCCGTGTATATGTACGAAATACTTTATGTAATCGTTTCATCGATAGCACGTTAAAGTAAATCATTTTCGGGGGCGTGTCCTTCGACTATTCAAGAGAAACTTTTACAACAACCGGCGTGCGTACGGAAAATTAGTTTAATCTCGTACTGACACCTCCTTCGTTTCTTCTTTTTCAGGTCGCTTCGTCTGCCACTGTGGGCGTCGTTTCAAGTACAAGTTCTCGATGATATGCCACCAGCGGGGCGAGTGCGGGATGGAGTATCACTGTCAGAAATGCACGTTCAGTACCAACAAATTGCATGTCTGGCTGAACCATGTTAAGAAACTGAACTGCACGCCTTAAGAAGAGGATTCTCGTTGGAACTACTTGTGAATCCACGTCAGCCAACTATTACTTTCTATACACATCGAACGCAACCACACGCCGAACGAAATGTTTATTTTTTCCACAGAAAACATTATATACGATGTTAAGTCTACAAACTTGTAATCGTGTTGAAATCGTCGTTGTTTCAAAATAACATGGTTGTAACGATAATAATTCCCTCGACTATAATTTACACACATCCGATTACAAATCTCCGTCCTCCAAATTGATAATTCTTCTACTTAAAGTATCGTCGGTAAACAAGACATTTTGATATTCCAAGTGCAACATGTTCCCCTTTGATTCAGTTGGCAAATACGAATTCGTATTGCGTTCGTCACGTTCCAGAGAACCATCGATGTACTTCGTAAACCGCAAAACTAACACACGAACGAAATAGTGCCAGCCACGATTCCAACCCTGTAAATATAAATAAATTCCTGTTCAAGAAGAAAGAAGAACATGTTAACTCGAGACCACGTGACAATGAACAACGTCGACAGCGTTTAACCGGGACCAACCGATTTCTGATTTCAGACGAGCTGGCCCTGTTCCACGCGAAAGACGAGAGATTTCTGTTGGACGGCTACGATCTTTCGACTGGCCTGTCCATTAACCTGAAGAAGCACGTATGCAGCTGCGGGAAAATCTACAGCCAGAAGAGCTCCTTGGATCGACATCTACGATACGAGTGCGGAAAGATGCCGAACGTGCCCTGTCCCCAATGCGGGAAAATGTTCAAGCACAAGCACCACGTGACCCAGCACTTGAAAAGCTGTCGACTGAAAGATCCACGGAACCCAGACTTTTCGAACTGTTGAACCCAGTGATCGAACAAAAAAAAAAAAGACTTTATTCCGGTTTTTTGTTAAAAACATTTAGGTCTCTCAAGGGAAGGACCCCAACTGTACCACTTCGATTTTATCGATCTTTTGTAGACTGATAGAATACATGTTTCTAATGATATGTGTGAAATATTAGCCGTAGTTACTTGATAGTTTTGAAGGTATAACTAATTAAATTTACATTTCTAGTTATACAATGGACTCTTACGATATTGCCACGGTCGGAGCTGTAGTGTCTCATGTGGCAATATGCCAAGTGGCAATATCGTTAGAGTTCACTGTACCTATATCTACTATCAATATAGGTGTCTGTTTTTTTTATGGCTTCCATACGTATGTAACTTTTAATTATACCTTCAAAACTATCAAGTAACTGTGGTTAATATTTCACACATGTTATTAGAAATATGTATCCTATCATCATACAAACAATCGATAAGATCGAAGTGGTACAATTGGGGTCCTCCCCTTGTCTGTGTAGCTTCATGGACCTAGGAACGTGTGTACGGTCTTCCCCATAAGCAATTCCACATTTTCTACCTTTCCACGCGATTTTCGGTTGTTGCTCAAGAAAGCTAATTCTCAGACCAACGTGAGTTCGAAAAGTTTTCAATCTTTCTTTTCACATTGATCTTGTCTCCGTCAGTTTCAGATACAATTCGCCTGGAAAGGTCTGCGTAGAAAACAGTCTTGTACACGCCGAAGCTCATAGATCGAAACAAAAAACGGTTTCTAAGACTGAACATTCCCTCACCTTGCGAAACCGCAGACAGAATCCCCTAATTTTCGATCATTTCACGACGAACGAAACGGAGTGTATTATTTTTGTAATTTATTGACTCGGACGGGTCAGCGTCTGTTTTACTCTAGATAGAAAAATAAATTCGTATGTATCGAGTATAAGCTGGACGAACAATCTTTTCGACACATCAGCTAAACTAGAGAAGAATCTGGTCGAACATGTTAGATCCTTCTTTCTAGACTAAAATCTTTCGTCTATGAACGTTAAAAGTATACGAATCCATGCGTGTAGTTCCAGTCTTCAAACCATGTTTCTGCTTCCACCGTTTTCCAGATCCAGCTGGTCGGCCATATTACCATCGATCCCAGCCGATACCCCGTCAAGAGGCCGATGATCAACGTGTCGCCGAGAGGCGATTCTACTGCGACAATTGCGGGAAATCGTACAAATGGAAGGAGTCGTTGTTCAAGCACAAACGGGTCGAGTGCGGAAAGTTGCCGCAATTCTCGTGCGAGGTCTGCGGATATCGATTCATGCACAAGCATCACTTGATCAAACACATGACCTCGATCCATCAATTGGCCCCGGCCACTGGGGCCGTAATGTTAGCGTATCAATGAAAACGTTGATTCGGCTGGAAGCTTTATACCCGGTCGAGATTAAATTGTCGATCGATCGTGTCTGACCCGAAACGTGTTGGCTGTAACATTCTCGAATAAAATTGTACCATCACACACACACACATCAGGTGAACGCGTTTCTGAGAAAACCGTCAATTCGTTGAACTCTTCAGATTCCGTAGACCAGTGAATGTTTTTCTTGGCACATTTTTCATTTGTTTTTTTTTTTCTGTTCGTTTTTCTTTCTTCCGTTCGATTCTCGGTTTCAGGCCTCGAGCAGAACAGTGAACCTTAGGGAAGAATGTTTCTAATTTAATACTCGTCTCGTTTTCAGGTTGCCTGAAGCACTTGCTGGCGAAGAGGACATTCGGGTGCACGAATTGCGGCAAGCAGTACGCCAGACGCGATTCCTTGTACAAGCACACGCATTACGAGTGCGGAACGGAACCGAGGTTCGGCTGCACCGTGTGCGGTAGAAGATTCAAGCGGAAACATCATCTGACGTACCATGTGACGAACATGCACAAGACCGCTCCGAAATGATCCGACTGAATAATCGACACTGTGCGAATCATGTATGCTTCTGTGACAATGTGTAGATGAGTAATTGTTTTCGGTAAGGATCTGTACAGACTGCAGACACATCGATGGATTCAGATCGACATCTGAATTTTCATGGACATGTTTCTGTACTGACCCCGAAGATGATCGATGATGTTCATGTTTTAATTCCGATGAAGGAATCTTCTGGTCCATCTGCACGTTAAAATTGTTGGGGTTAGTGTCGACGGGCTCCGGGTAACGCCACCCCTAGAGTCTTTTCGAAGGCCAGACACTAAATCGGAGGGGGATACCGAAATTCCCCTCCCCCGGGTGACAATGTGCTACTAATCACTAATCACTAGACTCGATGGGAATCATTATATACGACCGTTTACCTGGCTTCTTCTTCGTCTGTATTTGTTCGTCGTATCTTTTAAATCGTATGTGCCATAGGGGTGTGCGAGTACTCGAATTATTCGAGTAACTCGAAATTCGAATCAAATAATGATCGGTCGTTAGAGTTCTTCAAGCTACTTGAAATCGACGAACTATTCGAAAAAAGGGCGAGCTACTTGAAGACTCAAACGGTTCGAATATTCAAACGCTCGTAAGACTTTGATTTACTTGAATATGATTTTTCAGCTCGAAAATTGTTGAATTACTCGAATATTTAGCTATTTACTATCAAATACTCATCTAACTGTAAGGGAGAGAAATATAAGGGTCTAATTTAAAACTTGTGATTTATTTTCATGTCGAAAATTTTCGAGCTGAAAATTTATTTCCAAGTAAATCGAAATCTTTACGAGCACTCGGATATTCGAGCCTTTTGAGTTTCTCAAGTAGCTCGCATTTTTTTCAAACAGTTCGTTGATTTCAAGTACCTCGGAAAATTCAAACGCTCGACTCGACTCGAGCAATCGAACCGAGTTCGGCTCAGCTTGTAAATTACGAGTACTCGCACACCCCTAGTCTGCCATATTTACCTAATCTGACGTGCTTGGTATCTTCTGAAGCTATTCATCCCATTCGACAAATGGAAAATGCGTGGATATGTGCCTAAAATGAGTCAAGAGACCTTCCTCGGTAGATCCACTAACATATTCACCCATTTTTCATCCGAGTTTACACTGTTCCCATTTTGCAGAGGATGACCAAATACGTGAATGTGTACCAGATATCGGACATCGGTTTATTAAATATTTCATGTAAAGAAAACAATGGGTTCAGCATATCTAACACGATTAATAAATCGAGCGCCAAGTGTTTCACAGCCGATCCTCGAGCATCGAACGACACTGACGCAGCTTCCTTTCTCGGTGTTTTTTAGCCTATCGGAGGAAGAAGAACGTCCAGGTCGATTCGATCCGCCCGAAACCGTTCGTCTGTCACCTGTGCGGCAAGACTTACGCGTGGAAAGACTCTCTGACGCGACACCTGCGACTGGAGTGCGGAGTACCGCCTGGGTTCGTCTGCATACCTTGCGGGAGAACGTTCAAACAACGGTGTAACTTTCAGAGGCACTTGGCCAGCTTCCACGGACGAAATACTACATCGAGATTATAATATATTCTACAAGACAGGAAAGATCTATAGTTCGATCTGGAAATCGAACGATCTCTCGAAGAAACGAGGACCGTCTGCAGAATGCTGAGGAATCGCGAGAGAACGGAAAGGAAGACTGTAAAATAATTGTTGCAAAGGATTGGAAGAATCTGTACAATGATCTGAAATCCCAAAAACTTACGAAATAAATTCTATTCGAGCCTTTCAATATTCGATTCTAAATGTGGACTGAATTTCTTTTAGTGTAGTTTGCGTAGGAACCGATTCGAAAGACTTCTGTAAGAAGTATGTCTAGCGATGACAGGTAAAACGTTAAGTGTTATTTACCATTTCGAGTTTTCCTTAAGAAGATATTATCCTCGATTATTTGTATCGCGATGTACAGAATGATTTGTGTTTGCTCGTTTTAAGGAACCCTTAAAAGTAAACCTTTCTGCCAGATCCCTTTCTTCGATCCCTCCGTTTTGTTTCTTTTCTCGATAGTCGATCGACACGATGGAACCCTGACTGGCCGACTTCCGGCTTCTGTTTCCGTTACAGGGTTCGAGAGGCAGAGGAAGTTCGAGTACTACCATCGGAAGCCGTATTCGTGCCACTCGTGCTGGAGATCGTACACGCGGAAGGACACGCTGCGTCGGCACGTGCGGGTCGAGTGCGGGAAAAATCCTCAGTACATCTGTTACGTCTGCAAGAAAGGCTTCAAACAGAAATCGAACTTCCGACGGCACAGCGAGTGCGTCCATGGCGTGAAGATTTGAAAGCTCCACGACAAAAGTCGCCCTCCGAAACGTTCGAATTTATTATACGAATTCTTCGAGACAGACTCGCGGAGTTTCCTGTTTCTTTTTTCTTGCCATTCAGTGATCGTTAAAGGAAGTTCTTCGAACGAATTAGGCTATTAATTTTCGTGTTTTTTTTTTTCTTTTTTTTTTACAGAATGAATGAATCAATGGTACGAGAGACATCGCGAGTCCCTCGAAGAATCGAACACGAGCTAACGCTGTCCTTGAAAAAAAAAAGAACAAAATAATAAAATATCAGAAGTAACACGCAGATCGCTGTCGGCGACATTTTGTTATTTCTTTTTATACTCCCGATATCGTCACCCGAAGATCCAGCGTCATCACCTGAAGATTCGACCGAAAAAAAAAGCTTATCCAGCACCTCTTCGCTATTCAGGAGTATTACACAACCGTATTCGCTCCTCGAATCCGTCATTCTATCGTTCTGTAGAATATCTTCTTTCGAACACTGTCGCACATCTTAGACCACTATCTGTGTACCAAAAACGTTCACACCCGCGATTCGATGCGCTGTAGGGCCTCCGTTTATCCGAACGAAACTTCCACAAATGAGAAAATCAATAGTTCGTACTATTCTTAATAATTACCATTCACGAAATAACAATCGTTCTAGCCACTTAAACTTTTTCACTGTACTATCAATATACCAGGTGTTAATTTCAACTCGAGCACCTTAATGATTTCCGCTCTATTGAAAGTAAAAAAAAATTACTAAATAGGATGTACATGGTTTTTAAAGCGTGCATCTGATGGTGATAAAAAAATCCTGTAAAGGTCATTTTAACGGTTTTTTCAAGGTTATCGTATTTTTTTTTCATATTGACATGTATTTTTTTATAACGCGTTAAAGTTTAACATACTACACACCATGACCTTGAAGTGACCTTGAAAGCGAAAAAATCAGTTCCAGTTTGAAAAATGCAGAAGTAAATAAACGTAATAAGAAGTAAAAGAACATTTTATCACCGTCAGATGCTCGTCTTAAAACCGTGTACATCCAATTCAGTCATTTTTTCTTACTTTAAATAGTAGCGGAAATAATTTAGGTGCTCGAGTTAAAATGTACACCCTGTATATCCGAATCTTCTTGTTATTCCTAAGTGAAGATAAAAGAAGTTCTACTGCACGTTACACGTTAGATGGGATTTGGCGGACACACACGAAAACCGTCCTGATGGTTCCTGTCGTTACTAACGCAACCGATCACCTTAGCAGCAGCGATTACCAGCTGCCCAGGGAATATTCACGTGTCTAGTAACAACACGAATCATCAGGAGACAATGAACACATCGGGCATCATTGAAGATATCCGTTCTATGGATAAGCGTCTCTCCTCGTCACAAGTCAGCCGAGATTTTCCGTTTCGAGTAATCGAAGCCTTTCGTGCTCTTGAATTCCAGGTAACTGCTCGAGGAGCAGGTACTCGTCGTTGCGGGGCCAAGATTTCTTGCCGAAGCCGTTCCCGTGCCACAAATGCGGCCGATCCTACAGGAACAAGGGCAGTCTGAAGCGTCATCTCCACGACGAGTGCGGCAAATCGCCACAGTACATCTGCAGCATCTGCGACAAAGGATTCAAACAGAAGGCGAACTTCCAGCGTCACAACTCGACCATCCACAGACGCATCTTCGTGCTCGACGGGTGAAGATCGGCCATCTCGACCGGACGAAGAGCCTCTCATCGCCGGAAGACGACGTCTCCACGCGTGTACACGAAGCACCGTCTCGAGAAGAGAATCTGAATCTGACTTCTTACGCGAACTTTAAAGACTGATTCACGTTATCCGTTGGGCGTGTCGTTCGTGTGTATTTCGACAGGAAAAATATGTGTTCGTTCCGATGGTATTTTTTTGTAATATTATTGCCGCGAAGCATCGTTTCTGTGTGGGGCAATTTGTGTTAGGTTGTTGTCCGGTGACTGATAGACGATGCTTTGGGAAATTTTTATTTTTATTTTCTACCCTATCAAGGGTTTTGTTAGAGTTAACGAAAAGAAAGAGTTGATCGATTCTTCGGAAACGTTTTATTGACGCGTTATTCGTAGTAAAAATGTCTGAGACTGTTGAACGGGGATACTTAAATATCGGTAAGTGAAGACAGAGGAGAATGATCTAGAAATCTTTGAGACAGTTCTGGAAGAGAGGGATAGTTCAGACTTTTCTCTTCTGTACGGCAATACATTACTCGATCGGTTCCCGTTTGCTTATTAAATCGATGAAAGACAATCTTGGTCCGTTCGTCGTGATTCCATCCTGCGATAAATCGTTCTTCGATCGGATCGACGCGACGGAGGAGAAATGACAAGAGGGTTGCCTGACGGGCAGCGTGAATCAACACACCTTCTATTGCACCTTTTTCCGCTTTATTTACGTATACATAAATAGCCACACGCAGTATTTAGCCAGTTTTTTCCTTTTTACATAACAGCTGAGTATGCTACTTTTTATCGAAAGGCCCTTCACATAGATAAATAGTTAAGCGATTAAGCGATAAGGCTTGGCACTCGCAAGAATTTTGTCTCACGGAATCGACTCTGAATAGCAAAACGATCATTAATGTCTCTCTCCAACCATCCCTTTTGCCTACGGAGTTTTACGTTCTTGTTGCGCGATTAGCGGGATTCGTTCTTAACGAAAGAAGGAAATTATTGAGAAACGGTTTCACGGGGAGCTGAGAACGGGATAAACGATTTTTTCATTGTGATATTGTGCGACGACAAACAAACAAAAAGACGCTCGATCGAAGAGATAAAGACGGGGGGGGGGGGTTAGTGGGTGAAATGCGAAATTACGACGTTTAAATTGGTTTTAAGAAATTTCATTCTGTAAGCAATGTTCTGTGATAATACGTTGACTAATTGTTAACTTCGAAGAGGTAATGAAGGGAAGAAAAAGAAATACGATGTTCGCCGAGGCCTTGGTTATACGTAATCTAGTTTCGCAACGTGTAACTATAGTTTATTATAATTTTATTATAATTATCGAAATACGCGATAATAAAATTATAATTGAAAAAACAAAAGGGAAAAGCACTACGTGTCTGACAATTTCTCGAAACTCACACGCGCCCGTCGTGTTTGCACCTTTCTCAAGATGGCCGCCGGAAGCGTCCCCGAAGATGAAGAAGACCGACGACAACCTGGAAGAATTCTAGAAGATTTATACGTTACACCTTTAATTCAGTGGATTCGTAGCTTTCAATTCTCATTCACCGTTACGTAAATTTTTTCGTTCCCGCGATTTTATGGATAATCATTCTCTTTTTTAAGTCCGAACTTCTGCACCGTGAAAATCATCAATTAACTTTTGCATTCTTGCCAGCAAAGCTAGAAATATTTAACATTAGTCGAACATACATATAATTTTCTTCTTTCTTCATTTTCAATTGAATCTAGTAATATGCTCCAGTAGTCATTGTTCGAAGTGGATGAAATATTTTGCTCTTGAATACTTCCGACAATGATAACCGTAAAAGCTCCAACCGAAGACACACAATTCGTGGGGGTATTAACTCGCTCTCGGAGATCTTATCGAGCGTTGATCCGCGAAAGACGCGAGTTCCCCTCGATCCCGTCGAAATTAATCCTGTCACGATTTTGTTCTCAGGTCAGCCAAGATTGTCAAGAAACTCGGTCCGGGACGGTTCAGATTTCCAGAAGCCGTATCCCTGCTTCAAGTGCAGCCGTTCCTACACAAACAAGAGCACGCTGAACCGTCATCTACGGGAGGAATGCGGCAAGATGCCGCAGTATCTGTGCCGTTACTGTCAGAAGGCGTTCAAGCAACGGTCGAATTATCAACGACACGTGTGGACGGTTCACGGATACATCATGTGACCCGGCCCTTTGTGATTCTCACAGTGCAATCCTCCATGACACTTTCATCCCTGCGTCCATACTTCATACCGTCTTACGTTTAAGCGCATCCAGTCGTTCGAGGCCCACGTTGGATAGAGCGAAACAGATCTATTCGCGTGAGAATATCCTTTCATTGAACGTACAGCAAAACTTGTATTACGTTGTTTACTCCGTGCATTCGGTACACGCTATTATACGCAGTGCAGAATAAAGACACAATTTTCCATGGTCCGTTCCGGTTTCTCACCTTTCGTGCCTTCTTCCTGCAGTGATCATTGTTATTGCATCGAAATCACATCCTTTGGCGGATTAAGTTGAGCCTACGTGAAACAGTGTAGCGGGAATCGATTTGCCATCGATTTTGACACTTCTTTCTTTTCCCTAGGCTCCCGCAAAGGTACTGTCATCTTCTATTAACTAGTCAAAATTTCTTATCTAAATAGAACTTTAGGTCTATCTCCACAGCGCTACCACATCTATATTTCTACGTAGAACGATTGAGAGAAAGCAAGAAGGGGAATACAGTAAATTCTCGACGAGTGTTCGAAGGTTCCTCGGCACTAAACTCTTGTACTTATTAAAAAAAGTCAGCGTTACACCTGGTGAGCTCTCCTTAAGTCTTCGAACACTCATAAAGGATTTACTGTATCTTGATCCGTTACTGCTTCACCGTTCGCGATCAAACATTCCGTAATTACCAAGAAAACACTAACGTTCGCATTATGATGTGTCTGATACTCGAACCACGGTTTCAGGGTGGCAGCTCGCCGCGGGACAAGGCAAAGTGGCCAGCAGCGATCAGTACCAGTGCAAGTTGTGCGGTAAGAGCTACACCTGGAAGTCCTCTTACTATCGCCATGCACGGGAGGAATGCGGTGGCCAGCGACGGATGGCCAAATGCAACAACTGCGGAAACCAGTACAGATGGCGGGATTCTTTGTACAAACACTTGAAGTTCGAGTGCGGAGTAGAAGCGAGATACGTGTGCTCGGTGTGCGGCAAAACATTTCGGCACAAATACCACCTGGCTGCTCACTCGAAGAGCTGTCACAAATAGTTCGTCCGGTCGAGTGTGGAAAGAGACGAGTATAACGAAGCTTTAGTTGGAGATGATTGTAGAAATTATAAGTAGAAATGATTTTAAACGTGAAAATGATGAGTGTTTTTATTTTACAACTAGAAGTCTGTTGCTTAATGTACAAGTAGAAGATAGTAAGTTCATTTATTTCTGTCTAGGTAATACATTCGATCATCTCTGGGTACAGCTTTAACCCTGATGGTCTCTTCATTTTTCTTTACGTTTGTGTCACTTCGAATACAATTATTTCAATAAATTAAGAAAAAGTGGCGGTAAAATTCAGGTTTGTTGGGTACTGGAAATAAATATTTGAAAACATATGATACCTATTGAAATATGATCTACATTTCGGGTCACATTGACCGAACGGTAAAACTCCCTTTCTCGCATCGACGAGAAAAATGGATACAAAGCGAACGGGAATGTTCTCGTCGATCTCATCGTCGTTCTCTTTGCGGTCTGTTTCAGAATCGAAGAGGGACCACAATCGCGTGAATTACGACGCTCCGTTCACCTGTTACAAGTGCGGGAAACGATACACGTGGACGGACTCATTGACCAGACACCTGCGCGAGGGCTGCGGGAAGCTGCCCAGACACAAGTGCACCCTCTGCGGCAGAAAGTTCAAGCGTAGGGACTATTTGTTGCGACACGAGAGCAACGTTCACAAGTTGCTGTGAAGCGTTCCAAGGAACCGGAGAACATATTTTTCGTCCTCTGTTTTCGGGACGACCGAAGAGCTCATTCGCCCCCGACTGGTACCATTTGCGCTTGAGTGAGCGTGGACAGCTTTATCACACATGGATCTTTTTTGATTTTTCTGTTCTGTTCTTTATACATTCCAGTGCGTATACTTGCGATTTTCTACGTGAGTTTTATCCAAGTCGGAAGTACATTAACGACGTCTTGTGTGGTTGGTTTCTGTAATTCCTGACCAGTCGATGTCCGAACAAAAATTTAGGCTGTACAATATAGTGAAATGGATATCGATTACTAGAAGTAGCGCAACGTTCTGTTGACAAGTACGCCACTGACACGAGAATCAAAGACTTGCTCGTCTATAAGACTGATATCGACTCGATAACGTCAATGTTCTATTGGACGTGGACGTTTAGAGGAATTTTTTTTTTTTATTTTGGACGACGTTTAACTCAACATTTCGATTATTTTTGTAAGGTCTTGAGGGATGTAAGAGTATTATGTAAATATGTTATACTTTACTTAGCTTTGAGTTAAGTGGTGGATCCCTGGGTAATGCCCACCCCAGTCCTATTGCAGGGCTGGTGAGATGGCCACAGGCGCTCAAACTAAGCCACGGCCGGGCCTAGGGGGGGAGGATTTCAAACTCCCCGCTCCCAGGAGAACGATCAAAATCTAATCTAATCTAAGTGGTGGAAGTATAATATTGTACTTCTTTCAGTATCTCGCTGAAGAAACGACTGAAAATTTTCTCGTACTCTTAATGGTCGCTGGACGTTTTTACAAGTGTATACCGCAGATCGACTTTTAAACGTGTTGTACATGTCTCGAATAAGGTATCGATAACTGTACATACATGTTAGTATTCGCGGAATATCGTACTATTTCTTACTTAAATAGCGTTTATAAATTGAAAAGTTTGTAAATAAAGCGCTTCTTAGCAACTTCTGTCTGTAAATCCGTTGTAAAAGTCATTTATTAAACGCGCTTGCTCGTAATAAAAGATTCATAGGAACCGACAAAATGGGTTGTGTCACGTGAACGCGTTGAAGTCTCCGAAATAGTTCAGAATATCATCGAATACAATTATATATCACTTGCCGTAATTTTTGGGGACACTCTACACAGAAGACTTTATAAATTAATAATTTCGGCCACGAACAACAGTTCGACACAAAATCTACCCAATCTCAGGAAATTTGATATCAAAACGCGTCGACGCAGTGATGTCTCAGCTGGCAGATATTCGAACTCGAAGACCTCAGCATTGCCAATTCTTACCCCTCGATCTTTTAATAAAGTTAACGTATTCCTTCAAACGAAACACCTTTCGAGTGACTGTCACTATACAGGGTGAATCACGAATCGCGATCAGTAGAGATTACTCTGTTATTAGCAGTCCGATCGAAAATGTTTGTATCAGGTATAGCATGGTTTCAAGAGAGCTTCAACGTGAAATTCTATAACAGATAGACGTAAAAAAATTATAGGTGTATTTGTAAAAAATTGAAGGTGACCTTGAATAATCAGGAAAAAAAAAGAGTTGACAAAAACTTTGCTACAGTCACGTTAAAGCTCTCTTGAAACCATGCTACACCTGATAAAAATATTTTCGATCGGACTGCTAGTAACAGAGTAATCTCTACTGATCACGATTCGTAGTTCACCCTGTAGATGACGTGGCTGACAGATAATACCCCATTCCCCGTGTATTTATTTCGTTTTGCATCCCTAACAAGACAATAACGTGATAAATGGCGTACCTTCGGGCGCAATTACAGTAGCTTATTGTTCTTTCAGTCTACTTCAATCCAGACTATTACAAGAGACTCGGGAGGCACTTTTGCACGAGCTGTGGAAAGGAGTACAGGTGGATGCAGTCGTTGGTCAGACACGCGAGGGAAGAATGCGGAAAGGATCCGCAGCACAGTTGTCCCGTGTGCGGGGCAAAAATCCGGCACAAGTGGATGCTGAAGAAGCATCTGGTCACCGTTCACAACTGGATCATCACGAACGGGAAGACCAATTGAAAAATCCTGTCAGGGACAGAGATGGGCAAATTCGTTATTCAGATAAAAAATTTCGAATAACGAATAAAAGAAATTCGAAAAAAGTAATTCGCCATTTTTAACACTAGAACTACCGACGATGAGCGTATATTTATTTCTATCCGGTAGATAATCATGGCATAATCATTGTGAAAATATTCAAATTTTTATATCAATTAATGTCTTTATTTTCATACTGCAGCCCAAAGTTTTGAAAGATCGGAGAAAATGCGTTGTTGTAACATTTTAATAACTATTATAGGAGGGCATTAATCAGTCGTTTTGACGGCTTTGGTAGTTCTAGTGTTAATAGCATAACCGTGAAAATTTTAATTTTTGCAATAACACAATACTTCTTTCGAATGAGTAGACACTTGGCAAACAATTATTTCATTTCATTAACTGTTCAAAGGTCAGGATGACGATTCCATATACTGCTGTTTTTCACGAATAAAATTGTGCCCAACTCTGGTCAGGGAAAGAATCTAGCTCATAGTGTCTGAAAGCTCGTGGTAGTCGAAAAAGCTGTCTTAGCTACTCGTTCAATCATTCCCAGTGATAGTTGATGGAAAATAAATGACTATTCGTGATGTATATAAATTATTCCAATATCGTGTAATTGTTTTCATATAGACTAGACTTAAAAGAAAAAACGAAATAGATTACAAACTGGATGAAATTCTAGTCGGTGTATACGAAACGCATAGGAACAATATGAATGGCCATTTATTTTTCATCAGCCTTGTAATTTCTAATTGTGTCTGGTCACAATTGATGTAACCCAATGATTGTCTTATTCCGTAATACATACTGCTGATTAGAAATTTGGGATCTTGTTCGACCTTGTATCAGTTTATAAAAAACAAAATTTTCGAATTTATCAGAAATCCGTCGAACCGATCCCAAACTTTTCAGCCGCAGTGTACAGTCTTCGTGGCGTTAGAATAAGGAAACCTGATGATTGTATTCAATCTGAACTGATTTTTTGTTATCTTTTCCGTTCCCCTCGGCCTCGGGGGAAAGTAAAACTTCCGCGAATGAGGCTTGCGTATTTCTGTATATTATATGAAAGTTTTTCGGTAATAAAGAAGATAATAGAAGGAAGGGATGCGTGAGAAACCACGGCTACGATGGATGCTTTGAATTAGAATTGAAGAGAGCCGTCGTACCGTCAGAAACGCATCGGCTAATGCTTCTGTTTGTTTGCAGGCTATCCGAGATCCCCGTATCACGCACGTTATCGCGGGAGGTATTTCTGCGACGTCTGCGGGAAAGCGTACACGTGGAAGCCATCGTTGATGCGGCACAAACGCGAGGAGTGCGGCAAAGAGCCGCGTTACGCGTGTCCGGTGTGCCATCACAAGATCCGTCGAAGCGGTCAATTGAAGCTCCATCTGTTTCACGTGCACAATTGGCCGTCAACGTACGACGTGAACGAGTATCGAACGATGTCAGTGTACGACGAAATATGAACGAATCTCACTTGACCCGTTTCTTTGTCCTCCGATGTCAGCTGATCTCGCGCGACAAACGTGTCACGTTATTAAAAATAAACCGATTCCGATAGGCGAACAACACATTTGCGTATACAACGATCATCGTGGAATGGTCCATCTTCTTCCTCCTTTTCTGTCATTTTTCACGAGACGAATGCTCCATCTCGAATAAATATTATCCCGATAGTAGAAGAACCTTTTGCGTAAGACGCAAAAAATTAAATGATCGACGGCACGACTAAGTTAATCGATCGGAGGGATTCCTCGAGGCCGATAGTGTACCAATCTGTTGTCGTTGATTTTTTAGGCCTCCTTAGGAAGTTCGTCTGCGACAATTGCGGGAAAGCGTACAAATGGAGGGAGTCGTTGCAGCAGCATCGCCGGCTGGAGTGCGGGATCGAACCGCAATTCGGCTGCATCTTTTGCGGGCGGCGGTTCAAGCACAAACACCACTTGAAGGAGCACCTGAAGAGACGGCACAAGTGCGATCAGTCGAAGCTCCCCTGGATCAATAGTCGATAAACCGATCCGTTTTTTTTTTTTTCATGTTACTCGGTTCCTATTCTTCGATACTGTAATTTTTTGGAACGAAACATAGTTATAGTAGAGAGATCGGCGAATTAAGTAGTAAGTACGATTGGATCTACCAACGAGTAATTGAAGTTTCTTAGAATACTGCCATTGGAAAATGCAGACGTTTCAAATAATCATCGACATTCTCTTCGAAGTAAGTACTGAATTTCGAAGAAAACCGTGAATTTCAAGATTCCGTTGCTTTATACTCGTTGGTACGGCCAATAAAATCAGTATCAACCGTACGTGGCGTTAGATTTAGTAACCAAATGGTGGATCGGCAACGTTTAATCGAGCGACGTCCAAGTATTTCCACGCAGCGTCTTTCGTAGCCCACTTCGAGATGTAATCAATGTTCCTGTAACCCCGTATCAAACACGATTATCATCGAACATTCCTGTTGTATATACGTTTTTTAATTGCGACGACAAGACGACAGATTTGTCGAAGATGTGATGCGCAGTAATAAAAAGACACTTTGTTGACGAACTCTCGGACCCTTCCTTTTGCGAGCGACAAAACCAAATCCGTCGAATGGGAAATACGCTTTTCGTTTTAGTTCGAGAGAGAGGAGTGCTATTTGCGTGTTCATTGAGCCAATGAGAATATTTTTTCCACGTTGCTAATAAGAACGTTCCCGCTTGTGATTTCAGGTTTACCGTTCTTCGCGTATCGGCCTAGCTACCTGTGCAACACCTGCGGCAAGACGTACAAATGGAAGGAATCGTTGAATCTTCACAAGAGAATGGAATGCGGTATCTCGCCACGTTTCGCGTGCAAGATCTGCGGACGACGGTTCAAGCACAAGCATCATCTGACGAAACACCACAAGTCCATTCACAATTACGTGGACCAATGGCAGTCGATCGACGAGCCAACGAAGGAACTCGAGAGGCAGTCGTACGCGGACCCGACCGCGTTATGATTTTCTTTAACGATCCGCTGTAAACCAAAGCTCACCGTCGATGGTTTTTTTAACATGAATTTACAACTCGACAGAAAAATGGAAACACACGATTTAATTTCGATGCCCACCGGTAAAGTTTAGCTTGATGTGTCTATCACCTAAGATTACCGGTTAAATCTGAATTGAATGCGAAGGATGGGCATATAAACGATGGATGAAAAGGTGTTTCATGGACTCCATGTCGTTATTGTGCGTTTTTATGAATTATACAAATAAATATCGAATGAGAATACAAAGAGTACAAATAAAAGAGGATGGAAGGATTTTAATTCGGGAAGTTTTACATCGTTTAAATAAGCATAATCCTCTGGTTATTGCTTCGACACTTTTCTTCCGACATCCCCGATTCCCGATTCGAAGCTTCAACTCGTTGTTTATTTATCAATCAATGATGTTTTCCTCGAATATAAAAAGGTTCTGTAGCCGCTTGTAAGGGGTTATATACCTTTGAGCTGTTAAATAAAAGGTAAATTTAAAAAATTTTTTGTATATGAGGAATTATTGTTTATTAAAAATTTAACATATAGATCTTAATGTATGTTATTTCTTTAGAAATTTCTGAGTAATTGAGTTATAAATAGCTGCCATTTAATTATCATCCGTTTCACAAAAACACCATCTGCGGTACCAGATATATCTCTGTGGGCTCTTATCTTGAACAAGTTTATTCAATTTTATATTAAAGTAAACAAAAAGAACTAGTACTTATCAAAACTGATTTTGAAAATATCAATATTTTCACAAATTGACGAAAAAAAGAAACAATTCACTTTATCAAGTACTAGATTTTAGTTTTAATTCAAGTTCAATAGTCTTAAATATTTCTGGTACCGATTTTGAAAACTACATTCCAAGTGAAAGTCATTTTCTTCTGTCGATAGATATATAGCTCAGAAATTCCTAAAGAAATTACATATAATAAGATGTATACGTTGAATTTTTAATAAACAATAATTCTGCATATCCAACAGAAGTTTCTTAATTTTCCCTCTTATTTAACATCTCAAAGGTACGTAACCCTTTAATGTACGGTCGGAGAGAGACTTGATGTTTGATAAGATATAATCGCAAGCCATAATTGTCTTGTTCCGCATCCCATGCACGATTCATAATTTGTGTTTCAGGTGACACCGCCGGCCGGGAAACCGTTTTTCCGTGCAGAGTCTGCGGCAAGGTCTACTCGAGGAAATCCTCCATGTACACCCATCTCCGCCTCTGCGGGAAAGAACCCGCGTTCACCTGCATTCTATGCGGCAGGCGGTTCAAGTACAAACACAGACTGCAATCGCATCTCGCGTCGAACTTGCACACGCAACGTTTTCAGTAACGATCCGTCGGCGTCATTTATGCGCAATTGTTTCTCGATGAATCGTGTCCTTACAGCGATTAATGGATCTGAAAATTCTAAGTTAAGTAAATTGTGTGTGTTCTTTTTCTGTGTTTTATTATTAGTACATCAGAAATCGTAACGACAATATTCGTCGAGAGACATTGCATTCTTATGGGGCACATACACTTGGTGGGTTTGAAAAACAAGAAGAAAATCGGAATCGATAGAAGTTCGAAGGATTGTTCGTTAACTAAAAAGAATTTTGATGTGGGTGTAAATTTAGTAATTGGTATTGCCATTGAAGCTCTCAATATTACAACGTTAAGCAGATTGCATTGTCATGCGATAATTTTATCGTTTCAAGGGATTATAATATTTTTATGAGTCTTACGAATAATGAGCTTTTTCTTTCATTCCATCCAAGTGTACGAGGACTCTGTATAAAACGTGTTCAATCGATCGATCTGGAAACGATTAAGGATCCGCCAGTTGTCAATATAGAAACCCGTTAAACCGACAATTTTGGGGCTGCAGAAACGCACCGAAGACACGAAAGACTGATAGAATTCTTTATCTGTATTCGAAACACTAGAGAACAGATGCTACGAGATATTTTTACAGAATAATATTTTAGTCGAAGCGACTCTCGAATGATATAGATCATTAGAGGAAAGAGCACATTGTAGATAAATATTTTGTTATATATATATTTTCTACGTTTAGGGCTTCCAGCAATGTACACAAGGCTACCAAAACAAAAATAAAGATTCTATAATAACAATTCACAATATAAAACAGAAACCGTCTAATTTCCTCGTGAAGCTCGCAGAACTCGTGAAACCGTTAACGTAGCGCTGCGCAACTCGTCCGTTCGAACAAGATAATATGACAAATAAATACTTGTTTCTTAAACTAACAAATATAAATAACTAAATCTGATTCATATACGAAACTTAGGAATGTCAACTCCTGAATTGAAAATCTTGACTTCGAATCCCAATGTTGATTTTCGACTTGATAGATCTCTTTCATTACGAGATCCTCAATGCTACAGTTCATCTCAATCATTAGTTATGAAAAAATCTGCAACTGAACAGTTGCGCAGCGCTGCGTTGACGACAGATCGCGGCGGAAGGTATACTGAAAAAAATTCGTCGTGAAAACAGTGTGAACCGGTGTTCCTAACCATCGTGAAACGCTTCTTGTTTTTTGCAGCCAGCTCGCAGAAGGTGTGGATCTGCTTTCGATGCGGCAAACGTTATCTGTGGCGGAGCTCCCTGAAGAACCATGTCCGTGTGGAATGCGGAAAAGGGCCGGCATTCACGTGTCCGATATGTGGACGGATGTTCAAGCACAAGCACCGCTGGCAGTCGCACATGAAATCCGTGCACCGTATTAACATACAACACTGAAACTCACGTTCGACAGTAATTTCCAAACGCGAGCGATCGATAAAAAAGGAAGAGAAGTTAGCAATGGGAATCTGCGTGACGCGAGATAGTTCAAGCTTTAACGTAATATCTTCTGTCTTCCGAGAATATGGTCTCAAGAAAAATACTTGTATACCTCCGTTCGTTCCGAAAGACGCCATTTTGGTACCAGTCCAAGCAACATTCCCTGTTTCCTTTAACGAACAGTTGAGGTCTATATCAGTTCAAACATGAGAAATCGATTTTTCTATTGTTTCAATCTTGAATGAAATAAAAGTTCGATACTCCAAACTGGTATTTTGTGCTTATATATTTAGTAGCGGTTTCGAATTCTAGCCCCAACAGTGTTTCATTCCCTGATAGACCTGACTGTTAACGTGAAACTGTGATTTCAGGCGAAGATACTTCACCAAGATGGACGATCGAATCGCTGGGAACAGGACTCGCGCAAGGTGACAGGTTTGCTTGTAATTTTTCACAAACACAATTGTACCATCAAGCCAGATTCACACTAGCGGTCGAATAATAGCAAATGAAAAAGACATAACAAATAAAATTGAATTTTTCATTTTCATTCGCTAATTTTTTATTTGCTATTCTATGCAGTTTTCTTCAATGTCTGCCGACTTGCTTGTTCGTGGTACAAGCGCAGCGCGTACCCATCGCTACCGCAGGAACTCGGCCGGTAGACCCGCGCTCTGATTGGTCGAGTTTTTTCGTTAATATCTCGTTAACAAAGCCTCGGAGAACTTTTTCGCTAAGAAAAAACTTATTTCAAATCACTCCAGGAATCACCCCATTCAAGGAGTTACAACATTTTTGGGACATCCTGTATCTCTTCTTATCCACGTCGAATCGGGTGTCATCTTTTGCTAGCACGTCTGCTCCTCACTTTACTCGTTACACTGGAGTAACCTTGTCCAACGGGGTCTTTCGTTTTCGCTACAGACCGTTTACACTCTGTGTTTCCTTTTGTCTTGCAGTGCCGCGGCTCACGGTGATGAGCATCGAGAATCTGGGCTACAAGAGGAGACCGTTGATTCACAAGTGCGCCAGATGTGGCAAGTGTTACCAGCTGGAGACATCGTTGAAGAGACATCAGAGGCTCGAGTGCGGCGTGGAGCCGCGACAGGGCTGTCCGATCTGCGGGAAAAAGTTCAAGCACAGATTCAAGCTGACCCATCATTTAGCCGCGTGCAGAAGATAACGGGAATAATAGGATCTTTAAAGTCCTGAAAGTTCATCTCAGTGATCAAAAATCTGCGACTGAACAGTTCTGGTCGAGCCGAGGAAATTTCACATGTTGAAAGAGTCCGAAGAAACGATCAATGTGCAATCTCGAGATGAAATATCATCGATGGAAGTTTCGGTGAATGTGATATGTAACAGAAAGTATTTTCCGCAAAGGAATTGATGTTCGTATACTTGGTATCTCTGCTCGACAGGGAATCAAGCAAGCTTTACGGTTGATTCATCGTTGTGTAAAGAATTGTAATTTTATAATGATCCAGAAGGTGCTGCCGAGAATCAAAAAGTTCGTTGCTTCTAAAGGACGAACACAGCGTACACAGAATCGATACAATCGACGCGTGTGTGTGATTTAGTCAAAAGGGGAATCGAACGATTTCGCTGTACAAATTTTACACTTTTCAATAAAGACACGTTTTCCATTTACGAAACGAGTGTCTGTCCCACCCCATGATTGACGAAATGATGATCGCATTTGAATTCATACTTCTCGCCTAGTACTGTCACTATGAATAACAAAATTTACTCTATCGCTTGCCCTTCTGCTCTTGATCTGCTCTTTAACCTATCCTCCGTCTAACTGTTCGCGTCCTTTCCCCCGTGACGCTACATGCCCACCTGAGAAACGAAATTTCATCAGGTAGGAAATTCACGTAGTTAATTTGATACGAACAGAATCCTGAGAGTTCTCAGTGAGTTCCTCTGAATCCTCTAATTCAGAGGACTAGCGTCTCTCGTGTGGACATGTAGCCGAAGCCTGCACAATGTTACGAACCCAGAAAGAGGCGTAATCTTTTCAGGAATCTGATAGTTGTCTCGTTGTGAGCAAAACGTTTTTCGTTACCGATCTCTCCCCGTCGCCGTGGAATGGCGAAATCGAGAGAGGCCCCGGGAACGCAGGCGCGTCTAACGGCGTAATCCTCTCGTTTCAGGGCTACTGGTGACCATGCTACTCTCGCAAGACATTCATCAGCCCCAGAACAACAGCAACACACTGTGGAACCAGTTGTGCTACAACGAGACCCAGCAGAAACAGACGCGAAGCCAGCAACGTGGAAAGGAGTCCAGGGAGACCGAGGCGAAGTACCCGTGCCACAGGTGCGGTAAGACGTACAAGGCGACCACCTCGCTCAGCCGTCACAGACGACTCGAGTGCGGCGTGATCCCGTGCGAGGTCTGCCCGATATGCGATCGGCGATTCAAACACAGATTCGTGTTGAACTCGCACATCGTCGGATGCCAGAAGAAGCTGCGTCACATCATGCAGAAAGGCCGCGACTCACCCGTGTCGGCCGACGAACGGGAGCAGCGTTAGCTTCCACGAGATCCTCTTCCTTCATTTCTGACCGAAGCGCGCACGACTAATCGCGCGTGAATTCCGTTTTGCCGGTTTTACTAATGCTGCTAGTCCACGCTAGGAACGTTGTCGAGAATGAGCCTCGAGCGACAGTGTGACTTCAGTGTTCATTTCAGAGTGAACTCTTGTGACGTTACAGAGTGTCCCAAGATAATGGGACATTCTGCGATATTCATATTGCTCGTGCAAATAAAAATCGAAAAGTTCTTTACCGTTTTGTAATCTGAAATCCCGTTTCCGAGATATTAACAGTTGAACCAACTCCAATCAGCTGAGCGGTTGGTCACACGAAAGCGCAGACCGCTCAGCTGATTGGGGTTCGTTTAATTTCTAATATCTCGGAAACGGAGCTTCCGTATTTGCACGGGGAATATGCGTGTTGCGAAATGTCCTATCGTTTTAGAGCACCCTGTATATTCGCGAGAATAAAGGCTGTTAATCATTCTGTTCGTTCACTTTGATATCCACTTCAGGGTTACTGTCACGAGTGAAGCTCTCAGATCGAAACACGGAGCATTCATTTTGTGGACTCGAATTTTGTGGATGTTGAACGAAAAGGAGTTTTAATACTGAAAAGTGTACAGGGTGTTCAAGTGTATTTTGTAGTCGTATTTTTGTTATTCATTCAAAGTGAATAGTTTGAAATTCCGTTATGTAGACACACGTTGTGCCGATTTTCGATTGGACGGAAGTGTCGCCATGACATTCTAGGCATTTTCTTTAATATTAGGAAAAATGATGACGTGCAGCATTTATGTATACAGCAGTATGTTATTATATGATTTTGTTACTTTTAGGTTTTCGATTATTTTCAAGTTATACACAGGTCGTAGAATTTTGAAAAGACACTTGCGTTGACACACCCTGTATGAATTGGAATACGTATGGAACTCTTTTTTTGAACACCTTGTATAATTTAGATTTTGTATAATTTTCAATTGTATACGCTTTGAAACAGCGCTGTCCACTACTGAAGTTCTTTATACACGACTTTCTTCCTTTCTACGTAGCATGTAATATATATCCAGTCGGACGATGTCAACAAGAACGGATGGTCTCCAGTCTCTCTAAAACGTTGGACAGCACAGTTTCAAAAGCTCTTGCCGCGTATCTTCCAAACCCAACAAGATTTCTTATAATTTAGACAAGCATACATACATTCGTAGCGTCGAAACTGATCGTGTACCCTTGCGAATTGTATTAATTTCCGAGGAGTATTCACGATCAGTTGTTTGCTTACATTTTAAAAAGGCGTGGAGTTCCTTTGTTTGCGTTCGAGGTGAACGTGTACCGGGAATCTCTCGACGATTGTGTTTTATATGTAACTGACAAATAAATGACTCTGAACGAGCGATGTATAATATTCAATAAACACTGACATGTCGGCCATTGTTACGTTAACTGGATCCGATCGAGGATCATCTCTCCTTCAATTAACTCACGTCACTCACACACTGTAATGAATATCCAAGAATTCGTGTCGTGTTTTTCGAACTCGTCGAATCCTCTCTGTCCTCTGTGTAAAATTTTCGAAACCGACGCTTGCCATCAGGTACACTCGCCATCGAATCTTTCTTTTCTGTTCGTTCACGTGTTTCTTCGTTCGACAGGTCTACTGCCGAAGAGTGCATGGAGCACGTTGAACAATTACCAAAACGTACCGATGGACGATCTGATGCTGAAAGAAGGGGCCACCTATCACGACCCGTACTATTACCAGGGGATGGTGAACGATCCGAGCAAGAAACAGCTATTCACCTGCTCGCTCTGCGGAAGGGCGTACACCTGGATGTACAGTCTGCGTCGACACAAGCTTCAATGCGGCGACCAGGAGGCGAGGAACGAGTGCCAGTTCTGCTCGAAGAAGTTCTTCAGACGCGACAGACTAAAGGAACACATGTTGGCTCATCACTCGAACATGATCTAAGGGACACAATTTAGAAATCGCCTCGGAATTTAACCCTTTAACTGTGACCATTGCAAATATTTCGTGCGAAACTTTGCGACAGCGAGACAGAGCGAACTCCAATGGCAATTAATACGAATTAAACCATTTATTTTATTGGATCTTTAAGAATTCAAAATTCATAATTTTAGCCATTAATTTATTAATATGAAAATGAGATAAAAATTTATTTCCTGCACTGGATGGTGTTATTACGTTGATAATAATACATAAATGTAATTAAGTTTTATTGAAGTCTTTATTTTACTGAATTTTGTGTATTAAAATTCACTACAAATGCATAAATTTAATTATATGTGATTCAGGTACTTCAACTTAATTCGATATCGTTCGATTTAGGTGGTTTCTGGCAAATGTTTATCGTAGGTAGTGATCTGCCCCAAGTCTTGCTTACATAGAGAATGCATATTATTAATTATTTCGATTCAGGCGTTTCACAGTTAAGGGGTTAATCGTTTCTGTCTTGTTTCCCAGGGGAACGTTCTATGTTCGTTCCTCAAGGATCCGCGTGTTTTTTTAACGTTACCACCGATTTTCGTTTCATAATGTCCGTACCGATGGATCTCGCGACTAAATCCCATGAAATTGTATTTTTCCCAAAGCTCATCGATTTAATAAAGTTATTGATGATAAACGCCTTTGTAAATTATGTCAGTTACTGCGTCATGACATATATGTATAAACCCTTGAGAATTTAATAAGACCATTTGCATTGTTAAGAAAACCGTGCGTCCAGATCATATCCCTTGACCCACTGACGATCGCCCTTGCTCCACATTCATTGGTCCCCAACGTGTATTTCAATAACATAATTATAACTAGACTATTCCTGAACGCAATAACGAAAATTTTTCACCCAATGAAGTCAAATTATTATTTTTCCTAAGCAACCTATACAACCGAGACAAAATTAACACTTCAAGAGAAAATGGCAGATAAATCATCACGAACCAATACTCTTACGGTCCTCAGTGGGTTAATAATTACGACTCATATTCTTGAATCAGTATCCAAAATCATCTGGACATAAATTCATGAAACAGTCCACAGAATACCTATTCGACCTCTTACAGTCCACTTTCTACGATTATCATTATTATAATTTCCACCTCTATCTATGAGTATCTGCTATGTACCAAGAGTATTTTCCCATCTTCTCGAATACCTTTCTACCTTTTCTTAAATCCACCCACCCACGATTGTCGCAGTAACCGATTTCTGTCGCGTTCCAGACGGCGCGACCATGATGAACAGCTTATGCCCGATGGAGTTCGTCGACACGAAGAATTTCATGCCCTCGCCGGTGATTTTCCGACCGCGTGTGCCACGAATCCGTTCCCAAACGTTGCAGAACTACATGTGCGGCGAATGTGGCAAAGGGTACAAGTGGATGGCCAATCTGCGCAGACACCAGAGGCTCGAGTGCGGAAAGCTGCCGAAGCATCGCTGTCGACTATGCCGAAAGGAGTTCTACCGAAGATACGAGCTGACGAATCACTATAACACGAAGCACACAGCCGCCAACGAGTACGAGAACACGGAACAAAAAGATCCATCCACGGGCTGGACCGATCGTTTGACTTAATTCGTCACAGATACTGTCGATCGTTCCTATCTTACCAATAGTACAGTATTACGTCGATCATTGTCTGACTGATTCTACAGGATTTTTGTCAGGGCGCTAACCCAGTTCTTGACAATGATCGATGGAACACTGTACTTTGTAAATTGAGGATCGTGACCCTGAACGAAGGGCGAAATCTTGATAAAACTTTATAAACCTATCTACCCATTATCGTAAGAAATAATTAAACGTCAATTATCGATTCTGATAGTTCTCGACGTTTCTACTTAGACTGTGAGCGAATCGTGATATAATTTATTGTACCATTATGTTCTTAAGTTATTTTCAACAACGACTGTATTCGAGGTATTTGTAACTAGCCTCTCCAAGAATCCATTCATCATTCTCGTATGCCCAGATATATCTTTATACCCATTATTTATACGATACGATTGATATCATAACTTATTTATATACGGTGTTAGCTGTAGCGTGTGTGATTTAGAAAGAACTGCATTAAAGGAACTTACTTCGTAAAACACAACCACAACGCATTTTTCACTATCTTCGTTCACAACATCGATCGTGATCGAACAAACATACAGAAAGGTATAAGAGAAGTATATATGTCTTTCGATAAATTTACGATCGAATAAAAAGTGTCGCTTTGTATTCTTTCTCAACATGTAAGTTCGATATCTGCGAAGACGATACAAGAAGACTGCGTTTTAATGCCGAACAAATTTCATACCACGAACATTAAATGTATCAGCGACGTCATTTTGCCCCCCCCCCCCACACCCCACGTTGCATGTTCATCCCCGTTCAACGAGCTTACGCCATTTTTTCGTTGTTTTTCGATATACATTAACGCGAAGTGTTCGTTTCTTCGCAGGGAATCACGGGGAGGCGATCGATTGGTACCTGAAGTCCGAATACGAGACGTCGCAGACCCTGTTCGAGTTCGTGGCCAGCAGCTACGACTCGCCGGAAGTGGAGGAACGGAAGAAAACCACGAAGACGGTGATCTGCGAGGAATGCGGCAAGAGCTTCTCGAGGCTGGACAGCCTGCGACGTCACGAGAAGAATTATTGCAAAGTGAAAGGGGAGAGACTGTTCTGTCGTTTCTGCGGCAAGACGTTCGTGAAACCGTTGGCGTTTATCACGCACGTGAAATCGATGCACTCGGCCCTACTCGCGATCTCAAATCCGCAATCGATGATGCAGTGAATCTCGTCGTGATACCAGAAATCTCAAAGATTTTCTTCGATTAGCCTATTGTTCGAAGCCTGATATACACTTGGATTGCAAAATGTTGAAAAGAAAGTTTGCAAAACAGTCGACATTGTCTGTTTCGCATTGCATTGAACATTTGTCTTTTTATAATTTTGTTTTCATGCTGTTCGCAAACAGCACACGAAGAATTACAATGTTTCCGAGTATGGATATTGAACTTTAATTACTGTTCCAGGGAATCTTCTCTTTTCATTATTAAGGTGCGTATCCACTTGTTGCGTGTATCGTGATATATCGTATCACCATTGTGTATCAATTTGACGGGTGGGGGGCAAGTATTGCATCGTTGCGTATGAAAATATGATACAATACGATACGATACGATGATACACAAACGGTGATACGATACCAGGATACGCAACAAATGGATACGCACATTTAGACTGCGAATGTTTACGTATTTTTGATATGTACCATGTGCACAAGATACAATGAAACAGAATCGAATCTCTTATTACACTTTTGTCAATTCGTCTGTGACGAATATTTGAGTTTCCATAAACATTCACAGTCCATTATTCACTTAGCCACACGTAGGAGAGAGCGTTCTCGTGGACAATTTCTTTTTTCACTTTGTAAATCATTTGTACGAAGAGAATCAAACGCGACGGAATAGTGTAACAATGATCTATATATACGTATTAATAAATCTCTTTGTAACGTGCGTGTCGTATTGTAATTTTCACGACAAGAGACTTCCAGGATCTCCTTGATCGAACTGTACCCGTTAACTGCTGCCGTAATCGCTGTACCTTCGCAGCAACACGTGCCAGGATGTATTTCACGAAACTATTAACGGAACTAAATAAAATAACGACACATACACCGACTCTTTCATAAGTAGAATGGAATTCCCTGTGAAATCATCCCTCTGCTTCAGCCGCTAGAACGTAGCCCTCCTCAGTAAATAACGTCGATCGTTAATCCAAACTAACAATGTCTCGTGTCCATCTCCCACGTAAAAAAAAAAAAACACGTAACCAGCTAGACAGTGCCTCGACTTTTCTGCCCTGAAAGCAACGCAAGGTAACTCGGCCGAATGCATGCTTCTCGCTGTTGGCAAGAGTGACGTTCCTTTGTTAACCATGGTGATGTTCCATCAGAGATTTTAACAGAAACACGCTACTTTGCAGGCGAGAACACGGAGAGCAACGGCGATAAGGAGCAGCAAGACGACGACGTGTGCGAGATCTCGTTCCACGGACAGCTACCGATGAGCTACCTGCTGTGCGACTCCTCGATCCTGACCGTCGAGGCGAACACATCCCAGAAAACTGGGAGGACCGGCCAGCAGTTCCGTTGCGACGGTTGCGGCCGTGGTTACACGCGTATGGACAGCCTGAAACGGCATCAGACCAAGTGCGACGCGTCATTAGAGAAGCTGCAAGAAGAGGTCGAGTGGTTGCATCGGCAGAAATTCTATTGCACTCAGTGCGGCAAGGGTTACAAGAGACTGGACACGCTGAGGAGGCATCAGAGGCTCGTTTGCGGGGACAAGGAGACAACTAGCTCCTGAATTCCTCGATCTTACGGAGTTTACCGACGAATTTCAGATAGCGTTTAACCTTTTAGCTATGGCGAGACTAAACACGGATTGCGCAGAAACGACATTAGTACAGAAATTGGTGTTCGATGGTTTTCAGTTTACATTTCATCACACTTGCTTTGAAATCAAATTAGAATTGAATAAGTTTCAACATTTTAATATATTTTCATTTGAAAAATGTTAATAATACAATATGAATACACATAGCACATGACGCCTTAAAGACGCCCTTTTTATGACTAGTTTAGGTTCAGGAGCCTTTAAGCCGCCTTCAAGGCGTTATTGGGCGTCATTTGCTATATGGGAAATGATATATATATATATATATATATAATGGCGTACCGTTCAAAAAAATTACAGGAAAGCCACTATAGTGGCGTACCATAGCTAAAAGGTGAAGAGTGTGGTAGAGAAAGTAATTTTGTAAATTTAGTCTCTAATGCATTCTAGATGCATTATCCTGGACGTGTATGGTATTTTTTAACGCTGTAACGATAGAACCAGCGTCAATATTTTCAAACCAATCCAGTTCGATTACCCTGACTCATTTTACTGTCGTCCACATACACATACACACACACACATATAGGCAACGAAACATTCGGGCCTAACGTTAATTCCTAAGATGATATATTGAATAAAATAGATTTCTACGAGAGTCATGAGAATTGATGAGACGGAGAGGAAGTAAGCGTCCATGATAAATCTTTATCTAACGTTAGTCCGATAGTATAGTTGGCCTGATCAAGATTGAGACCAGTAGATAGGGTGAATAATAGTCAGCCTAGAAAAAAGGAGATTCTTAGGAGACTGATCATTTAATTCTGCTCGAAGACCAAGAGGACGCTAATTGTGCTTCCTTGATCGCGTGATTTCTTACAACCGGGGCATTGTAGGTCCCCAATCTAGATCGACCAAACTATACGAGCTCGTTTTTATCACAACATTTGTACCTGTGCGTGTACGTTCATTAAGAAATATAAACAAACCGAAAGTTAATACTACACGGTGCCTGTTTTCCCACATTCTTGACTCTCCTTTAGATACGATCGTTTTCCATAGCTAATGTATCTGTTTTGGTACAATTTCGCTGGCCCATTATCGTTACTGTTTCTCCTTTTCCCGCAGGTGAAGAAGAACCGCTTGAATATGACGCGTTGTGGATGCTGGAGAAGAAGGCGAGAAGCATAGGCGACGAGGCCATGTTCCAGGACAGACCGTATAGGCGTAGACGACAGCTGACAGACTTGGGACAACCAGAGAAACGAAGTTACAAACGGGACCCGTTGTTTGTGGCCGTGGAACAGTCATATGCGACGCATTACGTGTGCACCGATTGCGGGAAGGGTTACAGACGGATGGACAGCCTGAAGAGGCACAAAAGGGTCGATTGCGGGAACAAAGAGAAACAATTCTCGTGCGATCTATGCGACAAGAAGTTCAAGTATCGATACTCACTGAAACATCACGTTACCATGCATCATGCAATGTGAACATTAAGCTTCATCGGTATCGCTTTATGATTCTTCGTGATCCGTATCCGCCATCTTGGAATTCGGAAGAATTCCCATGTGACATTTTATTATATCGAATATTATCGTATGATATTTGACTGTAGTACATAAAATAACTACAAGTAAATTTGGACTAGCACCCGAAAATTGGGACTGAAGTCCCGGGTGCTTGTAAAGCAGAGAATTTGATTTTAAATATGGAATCAAACCCGGTGACTGATCATCGAATCATTTAGTTCTGTTCGAATACCAAGAGGACGCTAGTTGTGCTTCTTCGATCACGTGATTTCTTGCAACCGGGGGCATTGTAGGTCCCCAAACTAGATCGACCAAACTATACAAGCTCGTTTTTGTGAAAACATTTGTACCTGTGCGTGTACGTTTATTAAAATACGTAATGAAACCAAAAGTTAACACTACACGTTGCGTGTCTTTTAACATTCTTGACCCTCCTTTAGATATGATTTTTTCTGTAACTAGTGTATATATTCTGGTACCGTTTCACTGGCCCATTATCGTGACCGTTTCTGCTTCTCCCGCAGATGTCGAAGGGACGCCTAAATACGACCCGTTGTGGATGCTGGAGAAGAAGACGCAAGGCATTGGCAACGAGCCCACATTCCAGGAGAGACCGTACAGGTCTACGACTATACGACACTCGACGGAATCGAGACAACCGGAGGAATACAGTTACAGAGTGGAGCCGTTGTTTGTGGCCGTGGAACAAACATATGCGACGCATTACGTGTGCACCGATTGCGGGAGAGGTTACAAATGGCTGGACAGCCTGAAAAGGCACCAAAGGGTCGAGTGCGGGAACAAAGAAAAAAAGTTCTCGTGCGATCTATGCGACAAGAAGTACAAGTATCGATATTTACTGAAACATCACATTACTGTGCATCACGCAACGTAAACATTGAGTTTCATCAATATGGCGCATGATTGGTCGCGATGAGTATCCGCCATCTTGGAATTCGAAAGAATTCCCTCGTTACATTTTGTTATATCGAATGTTGTCGTGTAATATTTGACTGTAGTACATAAAATAACGTTTGATTCAGGGCTGAAAATAGTCTGCGGGTGCTCTTATGACAATTTGTACAGTAAAAAATTTGGTTTAGAACCCGAAAATTGGGACTGAAGTCCCGGGTGCTTACAAAGCAGAGGAATCGATTTTAAACATGGAATCAATGTCGGATGTAGAAAAGGAGACTGATCATGGAATCATTTAGTTCTGTTCGCACACCTAGGACCTAGGGGACGCTAATTGTGCTTCGTCGATCGCGTGATTTCTTTCAACCGGGGCATTGTAGGTCCCCAATCTAGATCGACCAAACTATACAAGCTCGTTTTTATCAAAACATTTGTACCTGTGCGTTTACGTTCATTAAAAAAGCATAAAAAAACCGAAAGTTAACACTACACGTTGCCTGTTTTCTAACATTCTTGACCCTCCTTTAGATATGATAGTTTTCCGTAGCTAATGTGTCTGTCTTGGTACCATTTTGCTGGCCCATTATCGTTACCGTTTCTGCTTCTCCCGCAGGTGTCGAAGAGGCGCCTGAATACGACGCGTTGTGGATGCTGGAGAAGAAGGCGCGAAGCATTGGCGACGAGGCCACGTTCCAGGACAGACCGTACAGGCGTAGACGACTGTCGACGGACTCGAGACAACCGGAGGAACAGGGTTACAGAGTGGAACCGTTGTTTGTGGCCGTAGAACAAACATATGCGACGCATTACGTGTGCACAGATTGCGGAAGAGGATACAAATGGCTGGACAGCCTGAAGAGGCACAAAAGGGTCGACTGCGGGAACAAAGAGAAACAATTCTCGTGCGATGTATGCGACAAGAAGTTCAAATATCGTTACGAACTGAAAAATCACGTCACCGCGCATCACTCAACGTGAACATTGAGTTTCGTGTGTTGTACAGTATGGCGTATGATTCTTCGCGACGAGTGTCCGCCATCTTGGAATTCGGAAGAATTCCCTTGTGATATTTTGTTATATCGAATATTGCCGTATAATATTTGACTGTAGTACATAAAGTAACGTTCGATTCAGGACTGAAAATAGTGTGCGGGTACTCTTGTGACCATTTGCACAGTAAAAAAATTGGATTTACACCCGAGAATTGAGACTGAAGCCCCGGGTGCTTACAAGTCAAAGGAATCGATTTTAAATATGCTCTGCTTTTCGGGAAGGAAATACTAATGCAACAGCGGAGATTTTTTATTTTTTATTTTGATTCGATAAAACTTTTACTGGTGTGTTTGTTGGAGTTTTCTGATTCAAATGACACCAAACACGGCATAACTTGGATCATATTTACTTACTGATCGTTTATGGCATTTAATTAATATTAGTAAATAAATATAATTCAAGTTATATCGTGTTTGGTGTTGTTTTAATCAGAAAAATCTCACCAATACATTAGTAAAGGTTTAATTGCAGAAAAAGATAAACAATTTTCATCGTTGTGTTAGTATTCTTTCACTGATACGCGGGCATTTAATCTTTTTTAGGCTGTCGTTCGGAATGTCACCGATGTGTGACATTCTATAATTGACTGGTTCCATGGGGCTAGCCCCCTAATGGTGGGGATGAACGCCATGTGCTTACACTGTACAGTAAATCCTCGATGAATATTCGAAGGCTCCTCAGCACTGAGCAGGAGAGGTCCCAAGGTGTGACGCTGACTTTTTTTCATGAGATTTGGCACAGTGATAGAGCTTGGAATTCTGAATAAAATATTTAATGTTCAGTGCCAAGGAGCCTTCGAACACTCGCCGATGATTTACTGAATATTGTTTCGGGTACTAATCCAAGTCTTACTGTGATTAGTAGTTAAAGTTAATTGTCCGGCAATGGAATGGTCTGCTGGACGTCCAAATGCCGGAGCTGGGTTATTTTTCACCCGAAATAAAAGGGTAATGCCCAATTATTTGCTGGTGGTTTTACTTTTGATTAGATACCTTGAGGACTCGGATGGAAAATGATCCAGCTCTGTCATGGTCGATATTCGTTTAGAATAATTCGTTAATGAATTACAGTTGTACAGAATTAATCACCACTGATTTCGAAGTTCTCGAGCGATTATATGTATATATAACTTGATGAATGTTGTTGATAAATATCGATGAACGTGAATGACCCTTTTTCTTCTGTATTTTATTATCCTTCAGTAATAGTTCCAATAAATCTCAATTGTGACTAACGCCCATTTTTAATGCGTAATTCGTGCACGAAGCGATCAGCAGCTTCATCACTCCTGAATGGTTCGTTTTTAGTTATGGAGACGTAATTTTTTTCAGGAAAGCACTGGTTGGCTAAGGATCCGCCCTCGTTGTCGTGTGAAAACGTGTCGAAACGACGACCGAAGGAGAGCTATCGATGCCAGTGCGGGCTGACTTACAAGTACACTGGCAGTCTGCGAAGTCATCAGTCGACCTATTGCGGCCAATACAGGAAACGACACGTGTGCCATCAGTGCGGCATGCGTTACAATCAATACTACGAGTTACAACGCCATTTTGTCATTAATCACAAGAAACGATAAAATGAATTTCTCTTTTGTTCGTTTTTTTTTTTGTTACAAACATACACGATTTTTAAACAAATTTAGATTGACCTGATATACATATTTTGTACAAATGATTAGAGATTACTCGAATTATTTCAAAGACATCCCGTTTCTTTTCATTCGATTTGTAATCTAATTATTTCTTACTTTGAATCTTTCATTTCCGTGCCTTATATTCGGCGATTGATACTCACACATTATTTTCTATTCTATTAGATTAGTGTTATTCAATTGTTTATAACTGAACCCACTGGAAACCCCCCAAAAAACTCGGAGAAGATGAGAAGAAATTAATACCGTATCTCTCTGGTTTGACGCTTGTTTCCGTTTCCATTCTAATAAAATTTATTCGATAGTTTGGTATACATTATTATTCCTGTTTAACCGACGGTTCAATAGGGGAACCCAAAAAGATTGTAAATTCCAAGGAAAAGAAAATAAAGGTGTACATTTCGATGTTTATTCTCTCTCTCTCGAAATGTGTATTATTCCGAACAACAGCACCGTGTAATTCCGTTTCGTTTGGTATTTTGAATATTCGGGTAGACAGTCGATGGAATAATCACTAAATGTTGCCTTTCTTTCTTTCGATTTCAGATACGTTGTCCATATTGCAGCTGCCGTACGCGATGTCCGTGGATTTTAAACCGTACGCTTCCGCCACGAGCCAGTCCCAGCATCAAGGGGATGGAAAATGTTCAAGGAAGGACGGTGGCGCGACGAACGTTTGTTTCGGTTGCGGGAAAAGGTACAAATGGCGGGACAGCCTGCTGAGGCACCAGAGGGTCGAGTGCGGCAACAAGGAAAAGAAATTCTGTTGCGCACTCTGCCCGAAAAAGTTCTACCATCAGTACAAATTGAACGAGCACTACCAGGGCCGTCATAAGTTACCTAAAATCCGTTGAAGACGAACCCGTTTGAAGGGATTTCTTCGTGTTATTCGGAAATTTCGTAATGCCTGAAAATGTTCTCGGTGGACCGAAAAAAAATATGGCGTGGATGGGTCATCGTGTTCGAACCTCTTGTGATATACGCGTATTTTAATTAAAGTAATCTATACGGCGGAGAACGATCGAAACGTCTGAAGTCAAGAAAAAAAAAGAAGTGTCCTTCGGATTGTGTAATTTGAATTGTAATACTCTGCAAAAAGTTTCGGATGATCCATGTTTGCTGTTCTGGCGTTGGAAAGCCTTTGAACGTTAAGGAATGTTCCTTGAGGATAGGCTATTAATTGAAACACTCGCTGCGATTCCTCGATGCTTTATGTTTTTAAGTAGCGAACTAACAGTCAAGTTCGTCGAAAATGAGATCGTAATAAGACTGCATTGATTGTATGTAAATATAAAAACATTTTCGTTAGTTTGATTAGAACACGCTATCGCTCAAAATTCTGGGACCATTATTCGAGGAGAAGCGAACTTTCATTATTTTTTATTAAAAATATTTAGTTGGACTTCCTCTACTTTTTCTTTAGAAGACTGTAAATATTACAAGTGACTCCCAAGTTTTTGAGCAATAGTGTTCCATTAGAAAGTTTCTTTGCGATCCTATTTTTCTTTTCTTCTCAATTAGAATAAGCATTCTGAGTAATGAACAAATTGTAAATTTTTCTAATCGATTTATACGTACACTGTAAGTTCCGATACCTGAATCTCAGAGGAGAGAGTTTGTAAATCGCGGTTTCATCGTTGTACTTATCTAACAAATATGTGGATTCTATTTTCACTAGTTTCTGTTACTAGTTAATCGAACCCACGACGTTTCATTCCTTGTCATCGTTATCGATACACTTTACCGAACATTGTATCCGAACTGACGACCTCGCTCTCCTGTTTCTGGAATAAAACGAATTAATTGAAACTGTATTTCGGTTTAATGATTCGAGCGCTGCGATTAAAACGAGCCACGGCGCCACGGAGAATTCTGATTGTGTTACGAAACGTGTTATGGTTAATCGTAACTCGACGATTCCCATGAGAATTCCATCTACGTAATCCGTTCCACGAGTCTCATGTTCATTTAACATCCAATCATCGACAGAATGAAAAATCTAACATTTATCGAGGGTTTTGGTGACTTACACTGACACTCAATAGATTCAGCTCGAATACTATCAATCGCTACTTCAATTTGCTTCGACTCCAATGGCTTCTAATAATTTCTGCCTCGAAGCCACTTTGTCATTGATGATTAAATATTAATAATACGATTGTACCATCTAGTCCTGAACTCGAAACAAGTGCTCGGTTCACCAAAAGCCTCGAACTCACGTTCATCGTAGCCTGACACCCTGGAGGAGAGCTGTTGCTAGTCCGATCATCCATGTGATTGCTTTCATTGTAAACCGGTTGAGTGTAGCCCGACCTGTGCTTTGTGTAAGTTGTCACGGGACACGTTTGTTCTACGGCTAACATCCGTGTGTAACCATCGTCACAGAATCGTTGGATACGAGCGCGTGGACCGGACGGAATGATACTGATCCTCTTATCTTGTTTCTAGACCGGACCTACTCGCCAGGTGCGGCGATCGAGTGGTACTACCAATACCAGACCCTGTACCTGCGCATGATGGCGAAGAAACAAATGGCGGAGAACGCAGCCACGGAGCTGGAGAGTAACGAGAACGATCAGGACATCGATGGCTGCGCGATCGAGCCATTCCTGGATGAGAAGATGTCGGAGAAAACGTCGGAGAAGGCGTCGGAGAAGACATCGGAGAAGATGTCGGAGAAGACGTCGGAGAAGAAGATGGCCGACGCTAGTGGAAACCAAACGGCCCTAGGAACTCGCGATTCCTCGGAGTACTCTTGTCCACGGTGTGGAAACGCTTATTTGAGGCTTCATTCGTTAAACAGGCATATTAAGTTCGAGTGTGGCGTCGAACCACGATTCGAGTGTCCTGTGTGCCACAAGAAGTCGAAGCACAAACACAACTTGATCTTGCACATGAGGACGCATCAGAAGCCTTAATTCGATAGATGGAAATCGAATGTTATGACTATGGTGGTTGATACAGGGTGAGAGACACCTAGACGAATACACCTGGATACCTCTGTTACTATTAAAGTTAAGATGAAAGGTACTGTTGAGACTTAAGGTTGTTTTGAGATGATACTATAATTCGTTGGATTCATTTTCTTATGCATTTTAGTGTAAATTAAAAATATTCTATTGACATGAAATTTTTGTTTAAGGAATATACTCTTTTTATCTTCGAAAGTTATGAAGATATTGGGGTATATATGTATAGTTTTAGATATGTCCTGTGTGTATCAGGATATCGTTGTGTTTGTGTAAAATATTTTTCGATTGCCCTGACAGATCGGTGCAAATATTGTCGACCACGAAAGCCCTACCGTTGACCGTAAGAGAGATACAGTAGGTATCTGTATAAATAGGCAGTTCATGATTTAGAAACAATCTTGAATCTAGTTAATTTTAAGAGAATATACAGTACATGGTGCTCCAAAATGATATGATCAGGATTTATTAATGTATTTCGTACGTAGAGCTGAAAGGAAAGTGTATAAATATTTAACCAATAACTGTTTTCCAAAGAATCATTGAACCGATAATGATCGATTAACAAGCAGATACCTTGTATATAAATCGATTTCACAGAGTACATAGTAACTCGAAGAACTTCAATTTGATTTTTGTTTTCTTCTGATTTTTTGCGAGTGATGCCTTCCAAAGAAGTAAGTTTAAAGTGCAATATGAGTCTGAAACTGCTATGAAGAATATTATTTTTATTAGTACCAATTATATTTACATTTCTCGTTAAATGAATCTAGACATTCATATTTTGTCAATTAATGCTTAGAAAGGTGCTTCCACTTTTTTGTTTTTCTACAATAATCAAATTATCATTTTGATTTTCTTAAAAGACATGTTCTTGACGAACATAATTCATAGTATAAGTCTCGTTTTCGCGTAGAAAAATGTTGAGTTTGTACTTAAAGTTTAATCATCAGTTAACAATATCGTTTTTACGTTATGTTTATATCTGTTACATATTTCTCTTTACAACCCCGAAGCAGAGATCTTGAAAATTTCCAGAGCTAGGCACAATTTTTGATCGATGAATAATTCCAATGATATGTTCGTAAAAAAAATGTCTCGAATAATCAATTATTCGAATGAAAATTCTGCTAATCTCGGAAATTTATTTACCACTTTTGTTACCGTATATAGACTGACTCACTGCCATTTGTTATTTCGCGTTTACCGATTACGATTTTCGATTTCCCATTCGAGATCGCATTTGTTGGATGTTCTATAATGTTAACAATTAAATCGATCCTCACTTTTGCGTACACTTGTTAACTTAAAGAAGTGTGCAGCAGAAATTAAGATTCCTGTGAATACGTGCAATGTGGCCGATCGTGAGTGCGCAAAGCTTACACGTATTCATAATACGCTTACACCGAACACGTTTCTAGTGCCAGTAATACAGAGAGTCTGAGAGGGAAGAAGTACGTTAACAAAGTATACGATTACATTTTACAAATAAAAGAATATTACGTGTTTATGTAAATTATAACAACCTCATATAGATATAAAGCAACTGTAAAACAGTGGAAATAAATATTTTGTACTTTACAAGACAACATTCAACATCGATCAACCTAATGTATAAAACTCCCAAATCGTATCATGCCCCCCCTAAATCTTTCGTTACGATCTTATTGACTTCATTTATACAGAATCCCCCAGGAAACATAATACAGTAATACAAATTTATATTTCGTAGAAGTATGTTGGTAACTGCATGTTAGCGATGATTCTTGACCATGAGGGACAGTTCGAAGGAAATCAAACGGCGTTCGCCATTCGATCTCGATTTTCCAGCTAGTAATAAACAACAATGTATTCATTTTTTTCGTATCACAAATAGCATGGCTCGATGTAAGGTCCTCGAACGTTCCCGTCTTATTTTCTCGTTTTTTTTTTTTTGTTTCAATGTTACGTTGCCGCCAAATACGCTTCTTCCGTCGCCGTCATCCCCATATTTTGTCCGTCACAGTCGAACACGTTTTACCGATTTCTCGAAATGATGTTACAGTGTGGAAGATGCTGAAGGATCTGGAGGACGGACCACCGTTCCTCTGTCCCAAATGCGGCCGCACGTACTCTCACAAGTGCAACTTGACGAGGCATTTGCGGCTCGAGTGCGGCGTCGGGCCGAGATTTCAATGCGCTTGGTGCAAGAAGCGGTTCAAGCATCGGCATCATCTGCGGGACCACCAGAGGATCCATCTTGACATGAACTGCACGTTCGAGTTGCGACACTGAAACGTTCTATCACTATAGTTTCAACTGTTCGCCGATATTTATTTATCGTATTCGATTACTTATTTATATATTTACTTATTCGTACTCGGTGACGTTTCGGCATTGATCTTGTAACGAGGAGACACTTGTTATAAATGGGGAAGAATAGTTTATTTTTATTGACCGAAATATTTTAGATTCAACATTGAACAGGGAAGAATTCATTAAGTTGTCGCGGCACTTTTCAATTTTATTGTGTACATATATATAATTACATGTAAAACGATTCGTGTTTACCTGATAAGTCTGTTCTACATCGTTCGTACTTAGTTTAGGTTTATGCGAGTCGCGATGGTGGTCGGAGGAATGTTCGAACGTGATATTTCTGCAAAGTAGTAGGTACGTTGGTAGGAATTATTTTACAAGACTACAAAGAACGACTCGATGTGTACTTTTTATTCTGACTCTGTTGCTGCGTTTCTTTCATTAGAACTTTATCCTGGTCATCACTGTGAATCGCGAGTATCCTTGAATGAAAGGGTAATTTTGGTGAAACTACAAAGTATATTGGGCATATTAAGACGTTGACTGCCGAATGATTCTCCGTAAAAGATTTGAAGAACATTGGTACGTTTATTGTACTTAATATTTTATCGTAGACTCTAATAATTCTCATTTTAAACACCGGACTCCTGTCAACTGTACGTAAATCACGCGACAGACAACGTGTTAAGACACCAGTGGCCGCTCCGAAAGAGTATTCGTCGCGAGAATACATTATTTTTCTGCTCACCCTGTACATAACGTAACAGAAGTACTTAAATCTGTAACTCGAAGGAGACCAGCGAATCGGATTATTATACGATGTGTCTAAGGGATAAGGATTCGGGGGCTAAAGTATTTTCGATGTTTGTGATCAGTGTGATTGTCGCGTTTGTGCCAAAGAAAAGGTATTATTGAACTATCTATTAGCGTGTAAGTCGGAATTGTACACCGAGCGTAGCAACGATATAAGTATACATATATACGGAATATGTACGTGGAGACTGGAAATTGATACGCGTGTACAGAAAATGCCAGGTGACAGTAAACGAATCCGTCTCAACTTTCTTTGTAGTCCGGTGCTGAACTTTGTAGTCCCTCGATAAGTGCTCGTGTTTGGGGAAAAAAGATATTTCCGAAAGTTGGAATACATATACTCCAAAAATACAAGATTTTTGTTGATGAAATATCAAAATCGATGTGGATTTCAATGATTTCGTCTCGATGGTTCTAAAACGAGCAGTTATCCAGGTACTATCTGTATACAGAGGAGGGTGTCTCAAAAGAAAAGAAAGCTGATTTGAGATTTGATATGCAGAATTGTTTTTGCTATCGTAATCCTTTCTTTTTGAGACAGCCTGTACAATAGAAGAGCCAACGAATCAACGGCTTGGTAGCATAGATCATCGAACGAAAAGACGTTTCAGAATTGCAAATACCTCTTAATTGTGCCAAAGATATGCCCTAGTTTTTACGTTCGAGAGATCAACGCAATAACGAGGAATACATACTATATTACACGGATAATAGTGCAATACAAGCGACACACTAGATGAACCAGAGTTCCTATCTGTTTTGAATACAGTATATATTAAAACGCCAATTGTTCGTTTAGAGATTCGAATTGTAATCAAAACTAACATCTAAATCTCAAGAAGCTCGAGGACAGAGACAAGAAAGAAGGAATTAATTTTAATTCATCTGGTCATTCTAGTATTAAGTTCGCTTCTAAAGTTCCCCTATAAAAAGAACTACTGCTTCAATTATGACGAAGATAATGAAATGTTAACGCAAAATTATATTTCGCATCGATCTTACCTACAGACGCTTATCTTACTATATACGGACGAAAAAAGAGAGTATTTTATTCTAGTTTGCCTACATTGTTAAGAAACACCAGCGTTTAATAAAAATGAAAGAAAGGAAAAGCTTCCGAATGTTTACTCACGGTAACACTGTCGCAAGTACAAGTTTATATATACGAATCTGAGTGTCCGTTCGGAATCTGTAAATCGTAACATCGACCGGCGAAATCAACGAATCACAGTTTAGAGCGAAACATTAGTTATGATCATTAGAAGCTTAGGTGTCCGCGATGATAGAATGCAGCGTGTTGGTTAAGTAGTTGATCGATTAAGTTCCGGCTATTGTACGCCAAGCTTTACAAGTTCCTTTAATGTCCGTAGCACGAATAATCACTGTGTACAGAGTTTAGAGTTTCACGAGAATAGCGCAAAAGGTGGTCTTTCATAGAGACAGAGTAAAAAATGACACAGCTTCCGGCTGTGTCGCAGGCCTGCTGTTTATTTCGATCGTTCGACGGGATATCGATGCAAGATGAGTGAGTTGCGTTTACTTGACAAAAGACATGTACCTTCGCAGAAGAAAAATAAATTTACTTTTTACGAAAGAAATTTATCTCATATCGTTTCTCAGGTCCAAGACAGATAGATGGAATCACAAGTTCTGCATCTATTCACCTTTCACAATAAACATTATAAATAACTTAAATCTTAATTATCTAATACTATCGGTATTAAAATCCCTCGGCGGATGAATTCGTACTTCAGCTTAGAACTATTATCTTAACCCTTTCAGACCTGGTGGTCATATTTATGAACATAAACTTGATGATCTTTTATCTATGAACTTTGATATCTTTTAAAATAATGGAGATATGTAATTAAGATAATCAATAAGTTGCGTACATCTAGCCCACCCTATATGGTGCTGCGTCGTGCATATAAACGGAAAGCGTGTAGGTAATTGGCTCGTTAATTGATTAGTTCCTAGAAATTTGGTCATCTAAATATATGTATTTCGTCTGTGCTTCGACATCGAATTGGTGGACGATACAATATCGACCGCCAGTAAAACCGGACTCTACCCTCAGTCGGTAAACTAACCAGCGGACGTTAAGCCCACCGAAGCGCGTAACTGAGATTCCCAGTGGCCCACCAATATTCAAGGACGAATATATTTTTCATTATTCAATGTCACATACCGTAATGAAACCACACGCAATGTAATCCCACCTCCAAGAACCACCGACGAAGCAATTGCGAATTCCAATTCGACGCGTATCTCCGATAACGGAACACTTGCTTCGACCAATTGCGTCACAAGATGATAACACGCACAAAGAAGTGTTTCGCAATTAAAGTCGATTTTGGTACGAATTGCATCATATCATCATCTGACCTGCCACTGGAAATCCAAACACATAGAATAAGATCCACATTTCCACCTGAAGATGGTCCCATCGTAGGCGCGTGGCGTCAACGTGGAACGCACGTGCACCCTATCTATCCTCTATGAGGCCCCATTGCAATTTATCGGTCGACCTTGAGTGAAGATCCAGACGATTTTCGCGAGTTAGGTTTTTGAAAGAGTCGAGGACAAGTCGTGGATAAAGAGGATCAAGGAAGCCCAGGACGATCTCCTGTGATCCTTTTTTTTTCGATGATGACCGCTACCACGCTGACGTCTATTGTCCAGGATTGGATCTTTACCTGTGTGTATGTGTGTACCTGTGTGTGTATGTATATACGCCGACGTGCGATCCAGCAGGAACCGCCGCGCGGGACCAGAAAATCAATCCCGGAACGTCATGCCGTCGTGTGTATCAACATTGGAAAATCAATGGGCAACTCGTGACGTAGGAGTCCCGCCTCAGGACGGGCCAATCGGACGGCCGTCTCTGTCCCCCACCGTCGCAAGCTTTTACACCTAACCACACGGCCGCCGGCGTGCTCATTCCGTAGCAGACAGCTGCCCAGACCGGACGCGCGTGTATTCGAACGTCGTTCAATTGTTTGTTTCTTTTTTTTTCCTCTTGAAAAGGCAAGCCACACGCCAAAGAGGCGCGCTATCCGTGTGAAAGCGACACGACCACACTGTGTATGCAGTTTTCCAGTCGACACCTAGGAGATCAACACACCGACCGCGCGTCACAACGTGTTTACCTTTGGACTTGAAGGGAAAATCCTGATTGAGGCTGCACGAAATTCCGAGCGTCGTCGAAACTTGTAACGAAATATAAAGATTCCAGAGAAAAGAAACACACACGTACACGCACATTATATACAGAGCACACAACGAAAGGCACGATCGATACGAATCATAACAAACAACGCTTTAAGGCGGAAGAACACATCGTTGTCAGGACATCCCGCACGCTGTATTTCCGGATAGAGGGAAAATTCGCGCACGTGTTTGTTTGTTGTTGATCGAGAGATACCGCTGCTGCTTGGACCTTCGGTGATAAGAGAAGAACCCAGGGTGTGCACCATTGAAGCTGAGCGCGGTGCGTACGAATTGTCCCGTGGGGGGAAAACCGTCCGAGGTTTGAACTTTCTAGAAGAACCGAGAGAGACAGACGGCGGCGGCGGCGGCCAGAAGTGTAGACCGTGAGAAAGGGATAATACGGGCCATCGAGAGGGATAGAGAGAAAGAGAGTGCGCGTTGCTGACGAGAGTGTGCCCTGACTATCGAGATGGCGTTTATGATGCCTGTGGTGAAAAACGAGTGGGACATTTACAAGACTAACCGCAACCGGCGATCCTCGGAGTGTTCCAATCCCCAGGCCTGTCGCAGCAGGAAGGTGAGTCTCTTTTAACTGTAAAAAAACATTCGGCTGTCAATAGTTTTATTGTGAAGCTGACAGCGCTTCGTTAGAACGGTTTTGGAGTAACTGTTTCGGGTCATTCGAAGATCTTTAGTCTGAATGGTCTGTGGGCTCTTTGTATGTTGCTAAAAGACTCAGAAAGTAAATAGAACTTAGTTCCGGTACTAGGTTCGAATGAAAGTCTCAAGGATCTTCCTATTTTGAGGACTGAGACGAATGTTTCTTGTAGGACTCATTTTTAGAGATACTGTCGATGTAATTTTAGTAGTTTTACTTGAATAAGATCTTCCAATTGTAATATGTAGAAGATGACAGTTCCAGTAGTGTGTGCACTTTGACACGTAGCGCGTGGAGGCCGAAGATGTAGTAAATAATCAAAGGGGCTAACCGTTGATAAAACAACACGCGACGTAGAAATTCCATTGTGCATAAAATCTTTTCAACTTTCATTAGCTACTTTATCACGTAGTTATGTTATTTGTATTATTTTTTATATAAATCAGGTGAAAAGAGTATTCAGCTCGGGCAAACAGTTCTGGCCAAGAATTCGGTCAATTTGCGTTTCCGTTCGGTCGCTGCGAAAGTTCGAGCAATAGGAATTCGATCGTCCGGATGTTCGTGGCTTCAGGAACAGCTAATAAGTACGTGATATCATAGAGGGACAAGTGAACGGAACCGGTTCCCGGTTTTGCCGAAACGTTGAAGCGTGCGTCCTCGCACAGCCGGGAGGAGAAGAATCGTCAACGATTGTTTGGCATTCTGGCTCGCTCGCGCGAACGGCGCGACGCGTCGAGCGGATTTAAACTGCCACGGATATTTCGGCCGTGCCATATAGGATCGAGGGAATGTCGATCACAAAGAATTTCACGCTTAATCAGACGGTTAATTACGCGCGACGAAAAGCTGTCGCGTCCCCCGTGTCGAACGGGACCGACAGAGAAGACATCGAATTTAGTTTCGTCTGGCGCGCGCCAGATGAAGTAATCCATGTTGACAATCTTACGTCGCTGACGAAGGTAAACAGGGGAAGAAAAGAAAACAGTGCAAGTTTAGGTTAGATCCTCGTGAAATGAGTCCTCCTTTGATTCCATTTGGGTTAGCTGGAATTTAACCGGCTGGACTTTGATACTCTCGCGGGGGAAAAAAAGGAAAAGTCATCGTTTTCATTGTTTCAATGGAGGACGGTGGGAGGGATCGAGGCCAATGGAGGAAAACGATAATTATGGAACAACAGACGATAATTTGACGGTTGATTATTGCAGATATGACTGATTAAAGAAAGTATAAATTGATACATTGCCTCGAATCGGAAATACACAGTGCACACATTGTGTAGGAAGTAATTTTGTGAAATGAGTGGTTGCTTAGGGGACCCTGAACACTTGACAGCTGGTCTTTATGCTAATGGATGCGTGAGGTCAGTTTCGTTGAAATCGATGGAATTTCTATATCCACTGTGCGATAATAATAACTACTGACTTAATAGCCTCGAAGAGCTAATAGAATCGTTGAATATTATCGTTGAATGTTAAGTTATTATTATCGTTAAATGCATCCCGGACAGGTCGGAATAGGTCGTTTTTGCACCTGACGGTTGAACGAAATCTCGTCGGGCGAACGCCTCCTCAATGGCGTGTGACGTACGATTGCACAACTTTGATTCGCAATTTCGTAATGCGCCGCATGATTTCTTGTTACGTGGTCTCTTCTTATCTGACACACGGTTTATTCATGCTATAATCCGATATGTCACCGATAACGCAAGCCAGGTTTCTCCAAGTGTCAGTGTGGTATTCGAGAATTTCAAGTAAATTGATCCGGATCCATTGGTTGTAAAATATCTGTTACCGTTAGGGAGACGATTTTTCCAGCAAAAAACGGAGACCAGATGATAACGAACGGGTACAAAGTGCCCTTGCGAGACGCAGATGGAAAAGGATCCTGTGCGCTTGATTCTGCGTCGCATTCTTGCCCAGCTACTTTCTTTCACTTCGTGTACTGTATCGTGAATGGGGAGCGATGATCGTGAGTAAACAGTTGGTATGTTTTCCTTGTGAGAGAGAATTTAGTACAATTTTTTATTAGATTATATAAAAATTAACTTTTACTGTGTAAACGTATGTACGCTACTCTTAACCCTCCATACGCAAACATATTTTTTGCACTCCGTAGACAAACTGGGTGTCGTTTATTTCCATTTGTTATTTATGCAGGGTAGGGCGGCGAAGGTTCGCTACCTGCTAGTTTTCGAAAAACCCAGACCTCTCTGAACTATGGTGTTGAACATTAAGGGTTAAATTAATTCTCATTACAATTACATTTATATTTTATATTTATGAATTTGATATGTGTATAACACAGTTAAAGTGTTAACTTATGTCAGCTGATAGTGGACCATTATTTACCCATTTTGGAATATATGTACTTATACTTAAAGACTATCGACATTTTCATCAATTAATCTCGATTGAAGTTCCCCCCATTTCAATTCCACTGTATTTCGAAACTTCCTAGAGAATGTTCGTAAGCCCTGACGGAGTCCTATTTCGTCGACGGGTGTGCTTATAGACAGAGACGGAGAAACGCCGCGAATTGCGTGGAGCTACAAATCGTGTTAATCGATAACTACCGGCTTGAGAGAGATAGTTATCGGTCTGTGAATTGCTCGGCGCGAAAATTGCTGGTCTGGCAGTGTTCTGCCGTTGCTCTTTCAATTATGAGCACAGACTCCTGTCCCCCTTCCCCCCTTTCTCTCGACGCTCTAACGACCAGCAGACCGCTACCCCCTACATTATTCTATCATCAGGGTATCATAGTAAATCCCCGATAAATGTTCGAAGACCCCTCGGCACTGAACATTAACCCCTTGCACATTAAACCTCGTTAAATGTATCTGCTTATTAATGCAAGGAGTCTTTGAACGCTCATCGAACATTTACTGTATTTTCATTTTGGTGTTGAAGTCCACGTGTCACGATTCGCTTGTGTGTCAGTCGGATTACGGAATCGGCGCGTAACCAGAGGGAACGGGAATCCTGCGGCGAGAAATTCGCAGTGTCCGTGGTCATGGCGTGCACGTGCACACGTGTGTGCGGCTTTGATTGCTCCGATGCAGTCGTTCGTCAACCGACTTGATCCTCTCTAGTCGTTCCACCGATGATCGAGGTCTTCTGGGGTGAACATTGGAGCAACCCCTTTAACGATGTCGTTCGATTATTCCACTCTAACGCGTTCCCCCCGTTTTTTCGTCCTTCAAACGTTTAGAGAAAATTCGAAAGTCCGACGAAGTTTCGCGGAATCGTGGAATCTTTATCGTCGAATATATGACTCGTAGAATTCAAAGTGAAAGTAGCCCAGGACTTGGTGTTTCGTCTATCGACATTCACGAGGTTTATAGAAGACAAATTGTGTAATCCGTGTTGTACGACACGACGAATTTTACACAATTACGGTAATGTTTCTTGTTTGAAATTAATGGACCAGGTGTGTCAATTTTTGATGGAATTTTATGCTTCGAAAACGATCGAAGAGACAGTGGATTGCGAGAATTTATTACGAGTAAGTTTCAGAGACGTATTGAGTTCATCGCAATTTCTTCTTCCATTTTGTTTCGATAATAAGCTGAGAAATTGAATTATTCAATTTACTCAATGTACATAATGCGTCACGCATCGTTGAACTTGGGATGGGCAGCTCACAGTCGAGTCTTCTACACTGCGTGGCATAACTATAAAACCATCCTAAACTTTTCAATCCACTGTATTGTGGTTAAAATAAAAACGATCCAATATTACGTGTCTCCCTCGAATATATATTTTCATACTTCCGGGGGAGACTCTGGGTAGACACAGGTATTAAAACCAAAGGAAGCGTTCTGCAATCTTTTGACAAGTATCGTCAAAAGACGGTCAGTTCAATACTGAAATTCTAACAAGAAAATCTATGTTTCTGATTACAGGTGTCAGAATGCTCAAAATCAGAGGGACCGTCGTTGTCAACGTCTCCCGGCTCGGACTTCTTGACGTCCCCGGCCCATCGTTCGGTGCCGCTCACCTCCCGTCATTTCTCGAGAACGTCCTCGAGGGCGTCTCAGTCCTCGTTGCAGAGCCCGAGCAAAAGTACCGGCTCCTCGCCGCCGAAAACGGGGAGCTCGAGCTCGCTGAACAAGTTCCACAATCGTCTGGTGGACAAGCTGAAGCGATCGTTGAGGAAGGCTGAGGAGTGCGGCGAGGATCAACGAAACTTGTCGTGAAACAGCCAGGGGGTTTTGGGCCGGCCACCAATCCCCGGCTCGAAACCGATCGAGATCCGACGCACCTCAGCACCCGTGACCGCGACCGAGGCGAGCAAAGACGGGGTGGCACGATCGTGCCCGGATCCGCCGGCGTCGGCATGGTAGAAGAACACCTGGCTAACCGGAAGAAGATGAAGAAGAAGAAGAAGAAGAAGGTGATGATGATGAAGAAGAAAGAAGGAGGGAGGAAGTCCCTGCGTGTCGTTCACCGATGACGAGGATCGGCCCTGTGATAACCACACGCTTGGTGAGGAACGGTCCTCGCTCGAGGATCTAACCGTGGGCATGACGTGATGTTGTGTTCGATTACGACCTGTCTGGAAGAGAAGACAGGAAAGGAAGACAGAAGATAACGAAGGATAGAAGCTTGAAAACCAAGGATTCAGAAGACACAGGACTGACGTGAAAGAGATCTCCTTGGAGACGAAGATCCGAAGTACCAACGGGGATTGAATTGAAGATCAAGAAACACAGCGCCCTCGAGAATATTCCCTCCGGTCTGCTTGGACCGCGAGCGAGATGAGGATGGTCTCTCGTTCGAGAGACGTTCCATCATCGTTGGCGTGCTGACGGTGGTCGCCGTTCTCTAGGCAGCCGAATATAACGTAACCAGTAGGTTGCCGTGTGCTCTCTTCTCTACGTTTCTTCTCCACAGCGACACACGTCTCGCGAGATAAAAAAAAAAACTTGCATTCTTTTCATTCGATGAAATATATAGTCCCCACCCCTCCCCATTTTGGACTCCGTTGCTCAACGGAGAGAATCTCGGACGAACGGGTGACCAAAAAAAAAAAGGGCCAGTTGCACTGAGGACGGAATCGGATTGGGGGCAAGATCGATCGGTTGTCCGTTTGTTTATAGTTTATAACACGAGCGAGAGAGTCGATGCACGCCCGCGGCTTCCCTTCCCAATCCGTCGAGATCTATACAAAAAAAAAAAAAAACAAATCCGCGAGAATTCAGAAAACCCGTGCTGATGATTCCTTTGGATAACTGTGAGAATCTGTTTAGGATGACGGAGAGAAGAGATTTATTAAGAGAGAGAGCGGCGGAGGGCGATGGTTCTCTGCCATGAAGAAGAAGAAGATGATGAAGAGGTTGTGCTGGAGCTCTTTTCTTACGAACTCGCTGGAGCTCCTTTCTTATGACTTGCTGGAGCTCCTTTCGCGAGCGAAGAACAATTTACGAGCTTGGGAACATAACTGAACCAACGGAGAAGAGAGACGAGTGGAAGAAACCAACGAAAGAGGTATAATAATCGTGACAACGGGAATATGGTCGTCGTTGGGGTGCACGTGTCAGAGGTGTATATAATAGAGGCGTAGAATCGCGTACGGGTTCGTGGCCAGCTCTCGGGATCGATATAATAGAGGATCTCGGGGAGTCCAGACCTAAATGAAAAAGATTGCTAGTTCCTTCGTTGTACATTTATCGCGCGTGTATAGAGTTTTAACTGACGAGGTTTCTTGTAATCGTTGCTACTACCGCGCACGAACACACACACACACAGCTTTTTTCCGCTGATTCGAGGACTCGAAAAAACGCGGGAATCGATCGTGTGCACGGATAGATACAAGTCTACATTTTTCTGATTCGAGTATCTAAGCTCCGGAGCTTCTGTTGAACAAACCTACTACACTAGATTTCTACTAGTAACTATGTACTATTCTACCCGATAGAATTCCTTCTCTCGCTTGAGTACACACTTTGTTGTCAGTTTTATGCAGGGTGACGCAAAAAGATAGGACAATCCGCAACATGTAAATTCTCCTTGCAAATACAAATCAATCAGATCTGCACATACGTGTGGCCGACTGCTCAGCTGATTGGAGTTCGTTCAACTGCGAATATCTCGGAAACGGAGCTTCGGATTACAAAACGATAAAGGACTTTTTGATTTTTATTTGCAAGGAGAATTTACATGTTGTGGATTCTCCCATCTTTTTTAAACACCCTCTATACGTACTTACTCTTTATCGTTTGTCCGACTGTTAACTCGAACAACACAAAAAAAAAATAACGTCTTGCCTTTAATCGTACAAATGGTGATCATGATAAATGTGTGTGTTTTTGAAGCATTAGGACACGCAGAGATACCGAAAGAGCGGTATTACGCTAGCTGCCTACCGATGGGGATAGTGTGCGCGTGTGTACGAAAAAAAATTGCGTACAGGATATTACACTAGTACGTGAATATTACGTGTTATAAGTAGGTACACGATTCACAACGGACGCGTGTCACACGAATCCTCCGGATGAGCCAGAGAACGGAAGCCTAAGAAAAAGACTTAAACTTTTACCGCGTAAACCACGTTCAAGGCGAGATTAGCTGTACTTATAACGCGTAAATATTTATTCGAAGGTTTCTTTTTTTTTTTCTTTTCGTTAACTCGTTCGAGATCCACGAAACGATATATCGTTCGAGCTAATATTACTTAAAATTAGAGCAGAGTCGCGATTGGGAAATTCTAGTAACTGTGTATACCCTTTTATGAATTTGTTTACAAAGAGTATATTTTCGATACCGACTATCTTTTGAAGACTTTGTTTACATTATTAATAATGTTTCCTTTTTGATTAGCTCTAAATTAGTTTGGACCCTCCGACGGTACAAAATTGTCGAAAAAAAATTATGCTTCGTAGTAGTATTAAATACGTCGCCCGCCATGCTAAAATTCACCAACGGAGGCCACTAGAGAGGGTTAAAAACAAAAAAGAGTGTTCTTCTATTCGAATCTGTAATTGTTTCGACGCGAACCGAAAGTGTGTTCACGGAAGACTAGCTTAGACGACAGCTCCGCCGCCGTCGAAGAGAATATTTTCTTAATGGACGACGATCCCTCGCGACGTGGTGTGTAAAATTCGTTATTAGGCGTTTTTCCCTCTGTCCCGAGGTATATTCGATTTCCGATGTTTCGATTAATCGTTATACGGGAAGCATTTGTTGAATTCTTACATAGTATAACACTATTACTATAACGAACGGCCGAAGTATCTGAAAGATGATCCGGAAACGCGATGAAAGAAGTGTGTTCTCTTGAAAATTCGGACGCAGAACGACGTCTTTCGAAGGCAAAATCGAGTGTGTCAAAGTCACAGAGATGATAATACCTTGCCTGCGAATCTAAAAGATCGGAAAGAAAAAGAAAAGAAAAATTGTTTCCTTTTGCACCAAATTCTAGCGCGCTACGAAGAAAATTCGAAACCAAAGAGGAGCCTCTGGTTTCCATTCCTTTTCTTGATCAAATTAATCGTTTATTTTTTTGTTATGTATCCATTGTTTTTCGATTCGACAGTATTAAATGAAACCGCGCGTAGGATAGAAGATTCTAGTGTCTAGAATCTAGAATTCTAGACGGACCAGCCGACCAGAGCGACATCTTCTGCGTCCCACGTTTGCTGTGTATCCCATTTTGTTCTCTATCTCGCGTTCGCGCGTCGCGCCCTTCTTATCGTTTACGAAAATTCACGAACGAGGGAGCAATTAACAAACGATACCGCGTGTAACTCTGTGATACCGTAAGCTATAAGGTAGAATTATTTTGCAACGATCAAAGAAAACAAAACGACAAAAAAAGTAATGTTGTGAAAGGGGTGAAGAGAAGATCGAGGAGGAGGGTATAGGGGGAGATGTTATTGTTACGACGAAGGTTTCTCGTACGGGAACGCTTTGATTCTCTGTCGATCGTCGCGTGTTTTCTTTTTCTTTTTTGTTTTTTTTTTTTTCATTTTTTTTTTGGCGAGAAGTTCCTTCCTCGCTCCAAAGCGGTGAGAACAACGGAGAATCAAGGGGTTGAACGACTTTTCTGCTCGACTTCCAGTCGAGAATAGCCTCGGAGTGAAGAAGATACATATATTTCCGGTCCTATTCGAGTAAATTGGCACGAATTCGGGAGAAAATCGAAAGCCGGTTCGAAGACACGTTTTTGCCTCGGCGCAAGTATATTTCAATGCAATCAACTCGATATCATGTAACAGAGTCTGATACAAATTTAGCGGAAAAAGAAAAAGAAACGAATTTGAACGAGCGAGGTGACGGGATGGAGAAAACGAGAAACGAACTCGCGGGGAAGAAGGCTTAAATACGTCGCGCGATGGACTAATAACTGCGAAAAAAGTTGCCGTTACAAGTAAGACTGCTTTAGGAACACTTAAAAAATATATATTAAAAAAAAAAAAAAGTAAAGCGAAAACGTAAAAAAAATATATATATATTATATATGTAGGATTCTCGAGGAATGGGGTGATTGATTTTAGACGCTTTACTTATTATATTAGTGTATTTTACTTAGTAGGTTAATAGGTTAACAGGTTTAAACGCTCGCTCTCCCAAAACGCACCGTGATGCACTTTCTTTCCAACCGGCCGCGACTGACTGCCCCGTCGAACTTCCACGCCTCATATACATACTCTTTCACCCCCTTGCATTCGTCTCGCTTGCACTCTGTATCTCGCATCCATAGCTTACATTCGTAAAAACATACACTTCCCTATCGCTCAATTCTAAACACTCTTCGTTCACATCTTCCCAGTCACTCGAGTTTCCCAAACATACCGGCGCCGGTCCGTCGCAACATGATCCGGTCGCCTGCACGCACGCACGCACGCACAACGAACCATTCATCCCACATATAGAATTACCGATCGGATGCGTTACACTTGTGGTGCTTGGACGGGATACGGTTGAGACTCGCGGAGGATCGAGGGATCCGATCGTTTCTGGCGAACCTCCGCGATGCGTTGTCTCGATTGTTGTCTCGTCGGATGATTTGTACTGACCGAAACGAAAAAAAAAAAAAATTAAAAAATGGTGTTACTAGAGTTTAGTGATTGACGAGATAATACGATCTATTTATTACGGCGGCCTCGGACTGCGGAGTAAACGTGGATCGGACGGGCAACACTGGTCACCTGGTTTTTTTGCATACGTTCGTGTTTTATCTTGTTAAAACGATTATAGATTGTTTGTTATGTTTTCGAGCATCGTGAACGATTAAAGAAAGAAAAAAGAAGCTTCGAAATAGACGGTGTTTTTTTTATAGTTGGTTACTTTCCAGGCCCGGTCCGCGTTCACTATACGGTTGCAATGTTCGCGCGATTACAAAGCTATATAAATATATGAAATATATTATATATATACACTTAAACGCATATACATACATATATGTGTATATTTATTATTCGACGACTTGACTATTTTTTGTATTACTATTTCAAGTACTTTATAATTATTCGTTATACCTCACTCGGGACATTTTGAGCGGATTTTTAGCGTTTGGCTGAGGGGCGAGAGGTTGACAAAATTTCATCGCTAGTGAGAAATTTTCGTGACTGTTAATTGTTAGTGCTTCAAACGGCACCGATTCGACTCAGTTCTCGATTGATAGATGTCTTTTCAGCTGGCCTCCTTTTTCTATATTGTCGATGATCACATCACGTGATCGAGCAAAAAACCATTGTGTGTCAGTAACTGCCTTCATCGATTCCGCTAGTGAATTTGCTGATTTTAGAGCCTCTTCTCCTCATCCATGACGATTGAATATCACTGCCAAAATCCCCCCTCCCAGGATTACGCGAAACGAAATGAAAAGTAAAAAAAATGTGGCGTAAATACGTGGCTGCTGCCATTTTTTTCGGCAGCCCCGTGTTTTTTCATTTTGTCGCCACCAAATTCTCTGTCATCTCCCGTGTTTTTTTGTATTTCGATCCGTTTGCGTAGGTATTTATTTCTCCCGTTCCATTTTAACTGTTTTCTTTTTTTTTTCACGGATCGCGGCGATCTTCGTTCGCCGAAATGGAAACCCGTGTCCTGCTCGCTTTTTTCCGTCGATTACGAAGTTATTATTATTTTCTTAATTCTTCTGTAAAGAAGCTATCGAGACAGGACGTAGAGAAACGAGGAGTATCCGCGGGGCCTTCGTTTCGGAAAATCGCCGCGATTTATTTTGAATTCGAGAAACGAGAATTTGTTTTCGTTGAATGGAAACGTTCGCTGCTGTGTAAAACCGAAACGAGATGGCGGGTGCACATTCCATGAGAATCGTAAAACTTATACGTACTTGTAATAAGAAAAAAAAAAACGTAAAATAAATCTGTTAGCGTTTGATAAGACATTCACGTAAGATATTACACGCGAAGATAATAAATGAATAATATATCTAAAGTTTGGAAGCTTACAATAGACTCGGTTTATCCATTATTATGTATCGTGATTTTTATGTCATGTTCAATAAATGAGTTTTAAAGTAATATATCTTCCAGGTACACTAGTTAACCTTCCTTGAATCGTTCCTCGATCGGAGGTGAGTAAAAAATGTCGCCCCAGATATGAAGTACTCGTGAGATTCTTCGTGATTCTACTTTGATCAGTCTCATGCAGTTTTCATTTCGTTAAGGAGTTAGAGACCTTTAAGCTATTGAATAAGAGGGGCAAATTAAAAAATTGTTTGGTGTGTGCAGAATTATTATTTGGCAGCCATTTTCTTCTGTTGATAGATATAAATTCAATGGTTCAGAAATTACTAAAGAAATAACATATAATAAGATCTATATATTAAATTTTTAATAAACAATAATACTTCGTATACAAAAAAAATTTTTATTTAACAGCTCAAAGGTATGTAACCCCTTAAAAAAGCCTTTCAACGTTCTGGAAATTTCACCAAGTACTTGCCCAATAGTGGAAACAGCCTTTCAGTTTTAGACGAACGAAAGCCACACTAAAGAACACTGCTTCCCCATCTTCGTCCTTAACTTACTTTCGGTAGTGGCGCACTGTCTCAAGGCTCGGCTGGGCAGAATATTCAAATACTAATTCCCCTCCCAAGTAATGAGTCACGCGAACAGTTCTAAAATTACAGCGGATGATCGTTAAAACTGACGAGTGTCACGCGAAAATCAGTATACATACGTCTGTGACTCGAGAGACGCGAATTCATTATGAATCACGATTAAAGCATTCCTCGACCATGATTCGTTGATAATATCGTCGATTCCTGTCG